AAATAGAAAATACTTAGATGTATTGATTTTCAGAATTGTGTGCCGAAAACTATGTCTTTTAAGAATGTTTTGATGCAAAGTGTTGAAGTATCTAAGTATTGATGCTATTTATTTTATCGTTTTCACGACGGGAAAAATTGTTTATATGAGAACGGTTAGACTACGAGAGAGAATAATAATTTACTGTTTATTGTTTTATTTTATTTTATTTATTTATTTATTTTTTTTGTTTACTATCAGATAATTATCAAATTTGTATTAATTGGCATTGCTACGCGATTTGTTATATTATTATACTCTACGCGCGATGAACTATAGTCATTACTTATTGTCAATATTACTATCACACATTCACACAGACCGATAGTTAATCAATTGTACTGATTGTAGAGACAATAATATATATATATATTATAATATGAATGAATAATAAAATAAAAGTAATAATATGTATATGTATAATAACGATTCTTACCGATTTTAAATTAATCATATTTAAAAGATCGATTTTCTCTCGGCGGCTTGTCACGCGTGTTTTTATTTTTGAAGACTGCTACAGCAGCACTTGATGAACAAAATCGTTGAGATGATGCGACGGCTCATTTATATAATAACCACAGACCTACACCATATATACAATACATTGCTATATAATACAGGGTAATTATTATAATAATAAGGATAATAAAATCATCTCCCGCTCTAACTGTAAATACCGTCAACGCATCGTATCGTATTATTCGAGCCCATCGCCGTAATACTACAATAAAGTGTTATAGACATCGTATTATACGATTTTGCATTACAATACACCGCAGATTTGTATTGTCGCTTAACTCCCAAAAACACAATAGGTATATATACCTATAATATACATAAATCTATCTTGAGTTATCTAATATTATTGTAGCACAACTAGGCTGCACGGTGTGTATCGAATCGACAGTATTCTGTATGGTATGTATACCGCCGCGATAACAGCGGTTGTAAATATTGCGCACGTGTATGATTATATTGGACGGGAATATTTTCATCTTGAAATCAGATTCTGTTTTTTTCTACTGTACATTTTTCTCCAAAAAAAAATTTTAAAAATAGGTACTTTCTATTTTTCTCCATACATTTTTTTGAACTAGGATCGTGTTTATTTTCATCCGAATACTATAAGATACTATATCATATTAGTTTTTAAATGATACTAAAATAATTTATTTTATTTGTTTTTTAGATGAAATTATGATGCTAATCAGTAAGTTTTTATTCATATACGTTATAAGAGTTTATAAAACTCCTAATATTAATGATATTCAAGTAAATAAAATTTTTTTCGATAATTCGTATACTTAAATTTAATTTATGTTATTATAACTTAAAATTATTATAAAAAAATTATATTTTACTATATTTTATCATATGATTTTTAATTTTAATTTATTTCATATTTGATATTTTTCTATGTGTGGCAATAATAACATCGAAAAATGTTGTTGGCCACAAAATTATAGGTACCTATTTAAATTTTAGATTAATAAGAATATGAACATTTTTGATTTTGATAATTGAGGAAAATGAACAATGGATGAATTTAGAATCCATAACATTTTTTGAGAAAAATGGGTATGGCTATTTTATTAAATAATTCAGATTTATACATAAAAATAATTTAAAAATCCGAATAGTTTAACTTGTAAATTATGATATTTTAGACCTGCAGCTGTTCTCAAATAACAAAAGATCAAACATTTTTCTAAGTATTTTTTTAAAAATAACTAATTATAAAAAAAATATTCGATATAAATATGTAATTAATAACTGGAATATTTGAAATAAAAATTGTAACTTTTAGTAAACAATTGCTATTAAAAATTCTTAAGTCACAAAATTAATTTTCAAAACGTTAATATAATATAGGTACCTATTATACAAGTTTAATAAACATAGGTTTTATCGATAATACATTCCACGGAACTATTAAAAATGTCATTGGAATAATAAAATTATTAGTATAGTATATATCAATAAAAATAAGGATCGTTTTCGAATTATTACATTTTTTTCAAATGTTGCTCATCAATTTGTAAAGCTCTGCAAATGATAGTTTGAGAATCACTGATTTAGACATAATAATTTTATATAATTTTATGCCATCGTCGTTAACTCCGGGTGCGCACGAAGCGAAGATTACCATAATTAATAATTAGCACTCGAGATGATACGGTTTATCGTCCGCCTTTGTACTATGACGACCCGTCTCTTATTTATTGTTGTTAATACGCCCTTGAATTAAATATAACATGTGAACGAATCAGTAAAGAATAATGGCGTTGTTTTTGTATCATATAAATAATTTATATTGAAGGTACGATAATGACGATAATATAATACAATGTTAACTAGGGAAAAAATGAAGTTATTGAACTTAACGCCTGTAGCGACGAGCGATGATCGAATGCGGCACGTGGGTTATTTACCTTTTACCCGCAAAACCATTGACTTTCAAAGAATATCATACATACATAAACCCTGTGATGTACATGCTTTTGAACTCAAATTTGCGAGTAAAAAATAATAATAATTAAAATAGACATGATAATATGGACAATTGGTTTTTATATTTTGTTTTTAGAAAATATTACACTTTTAATTTTTGTGGAAGTTTGGGAACAGTTTGAAGTTATCCTTATTATTCTTTAGCTCTTCACGAATCATTATGACTACAGACCCGAGCAGTTTAAGTATAATATTACCGTCACTAAGGTAGTCAGATGGCGTCCAATTTCGTATTTACTGAATACTGATTATAGATTATAATATAGTGATTTAAATAACTATGTACTGGATACTGTAATGTAATATAATATCTACGAGCCTATAATATTATGATCCATACATATTACACAAAATTCAAAGTGTCACGTCTCTTCTCCTATTGCCGCTGGAAAAACATAAATTATAGCTTTAAGGCTAATGATCGGCTATCATTTTATATCGCTTTTATTCTACGATTTTTTTTTCTTTTTTTGTATCTATGAGCCTCAAATAATTATTATTAAAATCTTCAATGCTCAGAGTACCACGCGATACCAGTGGTGATCATGATACGATAAAAAAAAAAAAAAAAAAAAAAACATTGGTTTATCATCACAATAATACTAATATATTTAACTAATTAATTTATATTATTGTCCTCGATTCTAATAGAATTTTGAAATAATAAGAATATAATAATAATCTCATCAAGTTTATGTCCTTTATGAACGCAATTTATTTATTATTATAATATCTACTGCATGCAATTAATATTGTTATGTCGAGGTTTTATGCATAATAATTGACTTAATATTGAAAACGTGAACCATTGTGTACTGAATCATCCAATCGATGCGAGCTTATAAAACTTCTGAAATTTTCGCCAACAATACGTCTGCTGCGGGGCATTAGAGGACGAAGCATCTACTTTTGTTACAACGAGTGCATATAACAGTAAACATGATACAAATATACAATAATGAAATAAGTGATAATTATTTTACTTCACCAATTGTATAAATAACAAGTATGATAATATGAATTTCAAAATTGTACAACCATCGACGTGCATAAAAATTAGGTAAAAGTAAGGCACAAATTTTTCTTATTGGTACTCATCAGTTTAGATAATGGTTATTTTGTTACTACAGTCACAGTAAAATATTTTACATTTTATTAAAAATTTTAAATCCTATAACAATATTGAGTTCAAACTACTTTAACATAGATACTATGGAAATAATCAATGAAAATATAATTTTTTAGAGAAAGTAAGGAAACCAAAATTCAAGGAATTAAATATTATTACAGATTACAGGTACGTTACAGGCTGTTAATGTGTACAACCTAATGTAATAAAATTGTACTAGATACTTGAAGTCTTATACTATTTTTTCTATCCCTTTTCCTTTTTTTAATTTTGTTCATAATGTAAAACATAATATTTTAAACATATCCCATGTATTTAATTTGTAACTTCCATAAGTCAATAATAATTGTTTTCGTGACTTTAATTTAAATAAAAATAATAATAATTTAAATTAATAATGCATTTTTATTAAATAATATATTGTTTATAATGTTTAATACAATTATATATTGTGTAATAAAAAAATGTGATAAAGAACTCCTAAAGTATATAATCGGAGTGGGGGAAAGGGTTTGGTTCTCCGACATTAAAATCAAGTTATACCTACAACATTTATTTTACAATGTTAAAGAAGCATTGATCATATGAGACATATTATAATATTATTATTAATTCAATTATTATTTATTACATTATATTATATATAAATTATGTGATTCAATATTTCTTGATTTTATGTTTCAATTGATTATGAAAATTTTAAGCATAAACATTATAATTTCTTAAAATTATATAATAAAGTATTATATACTCGATATTTATTACCAAATGTATAAATTATATACTTAGTATACTTAAATATAGACGGTGATAGGTGCTAGACAGTTATTAGTACATTATTGTGTAATAATTATTACTTTAAAATATTACGCAATAGTACATATTGGGTACTTTATTTTGACAATTGGATCAACACTAAATTTTTTAAAACTATTCGCAATAATTAAAACGAGGAACGAAAATGATAATGTACCTACGTTTAATTAACAGCAGCGATCAACGTGTTTATTAGAATGTAATTGTTTTCCATTGAAAGTTTAAATTAATAATGTATTGGGTATAGTTGATCATTTTTATTTATATAATATTCTTGTAAATGGAATAACAATTATGAAATCTAACAGTTTTGTGAGATATACTCTCTAAATTGTTTACTTCTAAGGTATTTACAATTTACAGTGTTCAAACCAGAGAAACTGCAAGAAGATCATTGGATGCTCAATATAATAAATGTATACATGTATGTCGATGTTTTTCCACTACCCCACTCTTTATAGATATTTTCAGTATAAATTGGGCATTGTGAAAATCGGCCACAACACTACACGCAGAGTTCTTTCTGTAAGCACGCCTATAGCTGTATTGTAATTCGTATAAGCAACTATGAATTCGTCATTGCATCCAAACGTAAGTCTAACAGATTTAAATAATTAACATAATAATATTCGTTTATTATATCTTTGTACTTAAATTGCTTATGTAAAGGAAAATCAAAATTATTCGTATGTTTATTAAAGTGGCCCATATTATTGTACTTTTATCAAGTATGATTTTTAAATAGGTACTCGGGAATTGTTTGTACCGTGGGGGCTAATAATAATTATTTATTATTGTTTGATTTTTTAGTGATATTATCAAAAAATTAGAAATAACCGGTGTTTAAAAACAAACTCATTGGATAAGCATTGAAGTAAAACCGGTTACCGGTTGTCCTTATTATTATATATTTAATAAATTAATATACACCTTCGCAAAACAACACCCACGAATGGAGAAATCATTTTAGATGAATCTACATTTCTCTTGTAATCGCATATTGATAAAATATTTAAATCCTTGGAATATAGGTACTCGTTTTTGTAATGCGACATAATATTTGAATTAAAAATCTACTACATAACTTCCGTGGCCGTATTTAAATGTAATCTAAATTAAGATTAATATTATTGAATCAAATACCCGCTTTATGAAATTTGTTTTTAAGTCTTATTTGAAAATGTATCGCTTAAATTCGTATTTAACTTGTTTACACCAATACGCGCATCTTAAGAGCAATACATTATTTCACATACAATCGATTTATTTTTTATAAAACTATACCGAATACAATATCAATAATTATATTTCGATATGATTCAGTCAGCATTTTTCTGTAATCAAAATTTAGATAACATTTACAATTTATTTTATACATTTAAATTCCCTTGATTAGATTTAAACACTTTAACAATAACAGAAAAAATAATAAAATGATAAATTTTGAATTTATTATTTATTATTTCATAATGTACCTTTATTACATTTATTTGTCGTCATGTCATATCTAGTAGTACCTTAAGATAATTGTATACATTGAGTACATTTACGCAGACTTGAATAAATATCGTTGGCATGTTTATTTGTTTAATGCTGAAAAATTTAATTTAAAAGTATTATGTAATTCGAAATTGTTGAATATCCCTGAACAAATCTATCATAAGATAGATTTTTATTTTAGCTTTCATATTTTTTTTTTTATTTGAACGACAACACACTATATATCTATTATTGAATTTCAATTATGTTTTGTTTATTTGAATGTAATTAATGTTTAAAATCTTCAAAAGTATTGTTTTTATTGGTACACTGAATACGTAATAATTTTAACGACTTAAAGGAGATTTTAAACGTTCACAGTTAAGGTTTATTAACCTACTTAAAATGTGTATTTCGTTCATTAATTTTATGGGTAGTAATTTAATTTATTGCATAATATACTCGTGTAATATTGAAGAATTTTATTTTCGTGACAAGTTAAAGATTGTAAAACAATGAGTATTTGTATTCTATTATAAACATTGTTCTAAACATACTCATTGTATTGGTTATTTATTTGAAACTTATATTCAAGTCGACTGATTAATAAGTCAAATAATGTTATCTATGTTTAAAGATAAATCATATTTTTTAAATATTAGATTTAATTATTAAAATAATATTTAAGTTCAATTATATTTTTAAGATTAAGAATTCGGGGCCAATAGTACTTTTAACTTTCTTAAACCGATTGAAGGATAACAAAAAAAAAAAAAAAAATGAAAAACAATTAATTCGGCAACGGCTAATAGGTTAGAACAATAAATTAATTGTCTTTAAGTATTGAAAATAATATGATTGAAACTACTGGTATAGGCGTTATAGTCTTCGTGTTTGTTAAGTAATTATGAATAATTTAAGTAGATGAATAATACATTGATGTTTAAACCTAAAAATCGCGGACTGACGTTTCAAATATACGAAGTGTAATATTATTATCGTGATAAACCGTAAGGATTTGAGAGTGAAGTTATGAGGATGTCATAATCTATATGTTGCTTTGTCTAACACACGTGTGACATAACACTAATAGCAGAAAATCTACGTTCCGCATTTCACTATAAGTATTTTTAATCAATATTAGAGCGAAGAATATAAGCCGAGCTCAGGGAAGAGTTTTTTTCATATTTTAATTTTAAAACGAACCTTATAAATAAATTCGAAAAACAAAAGTTTTAGCACATTTATCTGATTTTTAACTATAATGACACTAAGGGAAAAATTCATTGCTCGAACACAGTTGATATCATATTTTATTTTCTAAACACTCGATTACAAGACGTAGATCTGCACTAATATCAACTAAACGACCACTACGTTGCTTATTTATTTTTTAAACCGCGTTCGTCGCGACTTCCTGAATTCAACCACGACCGTTGAACCGTTCTTTTTCCGCCCTACAACAGGTGTCCAGTGCCGCAGTAGTGGCCGTGATGCTCGCCGCAGTCATCGTCGTCGCCGAAATCGCGGGGGCGAAAGCGGCCGCGGCTCCGCAACTGCCACAGTCGGTGCGTCTGCAGACGGCTCAGGCCGGACCGGAAGTCAGGGGATACGCGGCCGCCTACGGTTACGGCGGCGTCCAAGTGCCGGTGAACGTCCACGCCGCGGCCGTCGTCGGCAAGTCGGTGTACCTGCAGCAACACCACCAGCAGCAACAGCAACAGCAACAGTACTACGCGGACGGGCCACCGCCGGCGGTGGTGGTCGGTTACGCGCCGTCGGCCGTCTACAAACCGGACCTGTCGGCGTACGCGTACGGCGCGTCGCCGCACGTGGAACAACTGCGCCGGTTCGACCCGGTGGTCCGGCCGGTGCACACGGTGGTGCCGAAGGTGACGGCCGTCGAGCCGTCGGTGACCGTCCACAAGACGTACGTGGACGTGCCCGTGCTGCACGATCACCGGTTACCGTACGTCGCTGCGGGGCCGACCGCGGTGGTGCAGGCGGACTACGCGTCGCCGTACTACAACTATCAGGTGGTCGACCGATGAGCGGACCAAAAAACGAAAACGAAATTTACTGTATTTTCTCGTGAACGTTTATTATTTTAATGATATTGTATGTTTTATAAATATTATATATATTATATTATATTATATGTGTTGTCGTGTCAAAACGTTTAGCGCCACTAGTGCGGCGTAAACATACATTATATTACAACGATTAAATTTACATAATGTTTTATTATACACTTGTACATATTATTATACTATCACGTTACGTTTTACGTTTACACGCGCGATACGCATTATTTTCGTATGGCGGTGACGTGTTTACAGGTTTTTATTTTTATGAGTTATATGATCTAAACATAATAATAATATGTGAGAATGAAAATAATCAGTGGCGTTGTCTGTGATCTCGTCATTGCGTCGTCGTCATGATCGTGTCGGCTGGTTTGTGGTGGTGGTGGTGGTGGTGGTGGTCGTCGTCGGGTACGGCCTTTACAGGTAAGCCGGAGCCGCGTACGGGTAGTAACCGTAAGGGGAAGCTGCGTAAGGGGCGGCGGCGACGTATGGGGCTGCCGCGTAAGGCGACGCGACGTAGGGCGCTGCGGCGTATGGAGCGGCGGCTACGACCGGAGCAGCTGGCACGACCGGAGTGGCCACGCTGTGGGCCACGCTGTGCGAAGTGAATGAGCTGGCGTACGGGGCGGCAACGGCCACTGGAGCGATGGCGGCGGCGGGCACGAGTCCAGCAGGTTTGGCAGAAGCGGTCATCATGGCGGAAGCGAACACTGCGACAGCGGCTAATGTCTGCACAAATACAAAAAAATCACAAGTGTAATAATGTTTACAGTGGCGCCTTCGACTTTTTTGAAAAAAACGAGGGAGGTACGATTGCGCACTATTCTCAAACCGCGTTATAGCGAAAAAAAATAAATAAATTATTAATTCTTGCATTTACCCGCAGCTCATATAGTTAAATATAATAACATATAATTAATTGTGTGTAAGACAAATTTGTAACGTCTGCCCATTGACTTGACTTATATACGTATTATTTGAAAATCGGATACAAAAAAAAAATAAAAAAAATATTGAAAACACGAGTTTTTATTTTAACGACGAATCGTGAAAAATCAACAGACCAAAAATCCAAAAGGGGTAGGGGATACGACATCCTCGTTCTCACACCCATTGATTATTGTAAATTAAATTTAGTATTATTTTATCGTCTTCCGATTTAACGTGATTTGTTTAAGGAGTTCATTATAGGCAATTTTTATTTGTACACGTGAGAATTATTAGAAAATCGTAGTACAATATTATTTAGGCCGAATTTGTAGCCGTTTAAAATATTACATGGTATGGTTGTAGAATTATATTATTGCTGATAATGGTCGAGTTGATTTTTACGGTTTTGTAACATTCTAAATTCTAAAAATTATTAAATAATTAAATACTCGTACTTGAGTTTGATACAAGGAGCGAAAGATAGGCCACACAAATGCATCGTGCTTTTAAACTCAGTAAATTTGAGATTTTTGGTTTTATTATTGATTGTAGGATCGTGAAAAGTCATAAATTATTTCTCGAAATTAATAAATTGATTAAAAGATATAAATTTACGCTTTTGAAAAATACCTAAATCGCAAATGATTTTTTTTTTTCTTTCGATATTAAGAAGCTACATTTTGAATTGTCAAAATGTGTGATGAATTAACGCTTTATGAACGATATATTTGATTATAAATGATTAATTATGATTCATTTAAAATCAATTAAATAAAATAAGCAACTTCTATTGGATTTTATTAAATCCATAACATTGCATACATAAAAATGTCTTAAAAAATAATAACTTAAATAAACAAATTTCCTCATTAATTATTCATTATCGTTTTAATACTTGAATATTACGAGTAGAATTATAAATAAATTATTGCAGCTGCGCTTGTACTTACGATTTTCATGATGGCGTTCATTGTTGGTATTTGTTAGGTTTGGTTGGTTGAAGAGCTGAAAGAATTTGATATTGCTTTACAAGCTGTTGTTGTGCGAATGATATTTGGATAGAAACAGACTTGCACTTATATACTGACCGATGGCATTAAATTCAAGTGTCCCACTCGTCAAATTTTGCAGGTGACCATATCATTAAATTTTTCAATCGTATATACATTGAATTTCGTATTGTAAAATTTAATTGTTTGGCATTGATTCAAGTTGAGTTACAATAAGACGTATATGTATACCTAATATTATATAATTCGGACTACGCCGCGATGTATGGATATTGAATATTAATCCGGAATTGGGTTACTGATAACAAATTCTAAAAACGCATTTGTTGTAAGGTCGCTCGGTGACCATATTTAGATTCTACGAACGAAATAATAAGCTGGTCAAAATGAATTGCTTCATAATATTACCTTCTATACCTATCTAAGATTTACTGTCTACGGAGATGTATTTTAATTTTATCAGAATCTTGACTATAAGTATAGCTCGTGGGTCGTGGCTTAATTAATTAATATATATTATTTACTATAATTTATTAATTCAAATTTTTATAATAATATACATGTTCTTTTTATTCTTTTTTTCTTTTTTCTTTTTAAGTGATTTTATTTGAAACATTACAGCACGACAATTACAAATAAGTGAAACAAAAATATATAAAAATGTTTATAAAGATATTTAAAAACAAAATAAAAATTTAAAGAAAATAACAATATTAAATATATTGATATATTATACTAAATCAGCTTAATTAGTAAGCTGAAAAGCTTACTTATATCCTTCAGGTATTACTGAAATATAAATACACGAGAATTTATAACCAACCTGAAAATCGTTTTTTTTAACTGGTAACTTACTAATTAAGCTTAGTTATTTCCACATGGTCATTATAATTAACACGACAAACAAGATAAAAAATTATCAATCTCAATAGATAGATATAGGTTTTAAGATATAGCTTTAGTATTTAAGTATGAATAAATAGGACGTAGAAACATATCACTATTACTACAACTTTTCTATAGCAGTTTCCAAGTTTTCAATCAAAATCATTTTTAGATTCTAATTAAAACGTTTTAACATAGCCATCGATTATCGACGCGTTTTCGGAAATACAATAAATGGGTGCATGTAAATTCTGCTAAACTTTTATTGATTTCGAAAAAGCTATTAATAACGTACACAAATCTGTTTGGCCAACAATTTAAATTTATTTATGGTTTTCTTTTGACTTTTTACAGTCTTCGTATTAAAATGTTTATGAAGTAATAAAATCTTCTTATTATTTAATTGATAATATTTTAATGACTAAGAAACAGTTTTTTCTTCAGCTATGAAAACAGCCTGCACAGTTATATTCTGTAAAAAAAATTTCTATTATTTTAGATTTTTAATTTTATTAATACAACGAATAATTTATGTTATTTGGTTATCGTATACAAGATGAGCAAAATCATAAAACATGATTTCTATTCGGTATCATTTATCAACATTTTTGGGTTCAATATTTTATGATTCATTCCTATGTCAACAATACATTATACTTATACATAAAAATAAAAACATCTTTTATAATTATAATAATATCACATATGAATAGATTCTAAAATTGTATAAATTAATAATAAAATAAAACTATTTTAATCTATTTTCAAATAAATCTAATAGTACGTTTTTCTGACAACTTCTTAATTATCACAATTCTAGGTACCTTAATTAATTCTCAAAATGTATGTGTGTTTTTATAGATATACTAACTTTAAAAAATAATATCATGAAGAAAAGTCTTACAATCTATACTCATTTTGTATAAAATAAAAGTATTTATTCGATATAACAGACATTTAACCAAATAATAATCGATCGTATTATTCCTGTAATTATTCTCGAAAGTCCTAGTTTGACTATAATAAACTCGAAGATTTCACATTAATTTACCTATATTACTTACTTGTAATAAAGTTCCGATTTCAGGAGAAAATCAATTACTACGTTCGCTTGTGATTGTTATCTTTATTTATTTTTTTTTTTTTAAACCATTAGTTCTATTTTTTGATTTTATAACATAAATTGGTACACGTTTCATTAAAAATTTTGACCTATGAGCAATGGATATCGACACGAAAAAAAATCACTAGAAGCATAAATACGAGACACTATAATATTATATTTATAAAATAAAAATCAATTATGATGAAAAAAAAAGACCTTACATACGGTAGTAATAATAATAATAATTGACATACTTCTAAGTCTAAACTCTACATTTTATGGTATTCATCAGAAAACCGTGCTCACCTATTTTTATAATTAAGACGTGTAAATGATTTTTTTTATTGTTGTTTTTCAGACTACTGATATATTTATAAGTAAATATTCTTTTAACAAAGATGTGAGTTTTCAGTCATCGTATTTTATTTCCTTAAATAATTATTAAAGGTAGTAAGAAATGAAATATATTTTTTTTAAATTTAAAATCAATTATTTTTATTATTATTCGAACTCAATATAATGTTATAACAAAATCTAATCAAATAAAAAATTCTATGAAAAAGTGTTGTATAGAAAAGTGTTATTATCAAAAAAATTAATTCCACTAGGGTTTCAATCTATTTTTTTTCTTTTTGCATATTATAATTAATTTATTTTTTCCATTTATCAACTATAATTATTAGTATTAACATAGAGTTAAGATTATGGACGTGTAGATTTTTTTTACTGCTCTAATATTTTCACCACCATTATACTTGTGTATCTAATTTTTAAATCTTGACTTATTAAGCGAACATTTGTTTTTTAGTATTAATTATTAATATAAACTATGCTCTATTGACTATTGTATATGGAATGAATTTGTTTATTGATTGGTTTAATAGACGCATAATATATATACTCGTATATATGAATTGTTATACATTTACAATAAAAATGTAAAATAAATATAATTAGGATAAATCGATAATTCGAGAAAACTAAAATATTTATTACATATTATAACATAATCATTGCTACCGATTTCTCGTCAATCGAATTGGCAATCGTACAACAGCAATAGATTTCGCCATTTAACATGTAAAAATGAAAATAGCATTTGTATACTTGTTGCAAATCAAAAATGACATAATACGACGATGACAACTTTGTGATACAATTCAGAAGCAGGTCGTTGAGTGTAAGGACGAATAAAAGGGAATCTCGATAATTAAATTGGTCGATGGCCAAAAACTAACAATTGTCTAGAGAAATAGGTATCCTCTACCTACATGATATCGCGGCTGACGACGTGTTATACATACCGATCATCAAATCTATTCGAGCGAAGGATTTAACATAATATAATATATTAGCGCAATTACTATTATAATATGACAGCAATATATAATTGTATTATGACATTGAGAAATTCACTGAATGTATGCAGAATATTATAATTGTCCGTCGAGCTCACGATCCGTATAAATAGTACTGTCCATACGGCTGTTGGGTATCAGTCTTCGACCGTCCAGTCAACCTATCATACTATTATCATCGACAGTGTATCTGCAACGATAAACTCAAAATCAAAATGAGCATCAAAATGGTAATTATATATTTTTACTAATAATCGTTATAATGTCATATTATTATCATTATCATTGCATAGTCGTTTGCAGACTTGGGTCGCAGAGTATTCAACTAATAAAATGTACTCCTAAAAATATAAATACCCCTCAATAAATATTAACTTCTTTGAGATATTTATGGTTATCATGATTATTAGAAAATAATATGTTATTTTGAAGACGTTGACTCCAAAAATCACATATTTGAAATAAAATATTAGATAAAACATCATACTTCATAGTTATTTAAAAATTTATTATATCTGAAATGTATTATTCATATTTTTATTTATAAAATTCGAAATCGAAATTATGAATAACCGTGTTATTATTTTAGATAAATGTATACTTCATAAAATCGTAAAATAAAAATATTTTTGCATGTCCGTTGTCGGATGTGATTGATGAGATTCAGGTTAATTTTGAATTTGCTATGCTAGTATAATACTATAATATACTTATTCCGGAAAGAAATAACCTCGAAAAAAAGTTCGTTACACTTGCAACTTTGAGACGCACCATCGGCTTACTTAAATACACCCCCAACATGTGTATTTTATAATAATTTATAATTGTTTTCTTTTTTTTTTCAGTCGCTTTTCGCTATCGTCGCCTGTTGTCTGGCCGCCATGTCCGCCGCCGCCCCGTCCGGTTTAGTTCCCGTTCCCCTGGCCGCTCCCGCACCGGTCGTGGCCGCAGCCGCCCCACCAGTGGTCACCGCTTACAGTTCACAGTACGTGGCCAGGAACTATAACGGCATCGCAGTCGCACCCGCAGCCGTCCCATCCGCGGCCATCGTCGGCTATCCAGCAGCACCCGCACCCATCTACGCACCCGCCGCATATGCCTACCCGAGTCCCCTGGTCCAAGACTACTTGTTCTAAACTTATTACAGCGCAGGTCGAGAATTCAAAGCATACGTATATATAGTGGTACTATTTTCGTGCGTCAAAGTCTCTTCGCCGTGATCTTCATTCTTAAACTTCATTTCTCAATCTTTTATACGTCATATTGTTTATCTGTTATAAAAACAATGTTTGTTGTTAATCTACCGTTATGTTTATTTTTAAAACTCTTGTACGATTTCTATATAAATAAATAAATCAAAAAGCGTTTGTTCTTCGCAAACCACGAGTTGACAAAATATATATATATATTGTTTTTACTTTTTTCTATGTCTTACGTGTCATATTTAGTTTGATTTTATGTATAGGCACGCTCCACTGCTATTGTGCTTTTCTAAAATCAATGGTAGAGATTATCGGGTTGCTACATCAACTTTATCATAGAGTAAATTTTAAAGATTTAAGTCTGGCGCTGTCTTGCAAGAAAACCATAAAGGAAATTGTATGAAATTTAAAAAAAATGCATTTGTGCTTACCTTAAACACTTTTGATGATGTAGTTGAAATAAAATATAATTATAAGTATCAATGCTAATTATTTATCTAATATTCTCTCGAATTATTTCAACTCACTGCTAATATGAAAATAATTATAAAAAAATATAACCTACGTACTTATTATAGTGTAAATTATTTTTGTCAATTTATAAAAAGGACTTTAAATAAAAAAAATTCTCATAATATTCTTATTGGATGTAATATCATTAAATGACAAAAATGTAATATATTCTTTTATAATGTAAAAAGATATTTTTAAAAACTCAATTATAATATTTTACCGATAATATGATTGACAGTTTAGTGTTTAATGATAAAATATTCTTTTTTTTGTGTGTTGTTGTTTATCAACTTATTATGATGTGTGATATGTATAATAATAATATGATTTACAATTATTGAAGAATAAGCACAAAAATACAAACCTTAAATAATTAAAAAGAAATAATGAAATCGTAGAAATAGCATACGAAGTTTCAAGTTATTCAACATTTTAAGTGTTAAGCGAGTAAGAGAAAAAGTGGATACAGTTGCCGCTAGTAGATTAATTTTTGAGGCGACAATTTTTTGAAGGTGACACAAAACAATGTTCTGTAGTTTTCTAATATTAATTATTTTTAAGAATACAATATTTATTAATTAAAATGTATAATCTTTATCAATCATTGATTAATCTACAAAGTAATAACAAACTTGGTTTCAGCGTTAGAAATGTTATTGTGGCGATATAATTTTTCGCGTGGGTAGTAATAATGTAATATTATGTAATGATGCTTATACAATATTATACGTAATTTATACTGTAAATTGTAGATAATATGCAGATATTGCTTCCGTAGCTATCATAAACTGAGATAATAATATAAATAGCTATATAAACTAGTGATGCATTGTAAAAAAAAAAAAAAAAATAGCCGTTTTAATTCTATATACCTTTGAACTACATTCAAATATAAAATTGAAATAAGTGTCAAAAATAAAAAACTCATACAATATTTAAACACAACATTTTACATTTTATTTACTCTACCAGCGGTCTCATCAATATCTTACAATTTAACGATTAACTTTTCAGTTGGCCCTGAAGTCGTCGCTTATGAATCCGAAGTTTGTATTTAGGAGGCTAAAAAGAAATCTAGAGTCGTTGATGCGGTGGTTTTCACGAACAGGATCGATAATATATCATCGAATGGATTGCGAATGGCGTTCGCCGTGTCGCAAGTAATTCGTCTTTAAAATACCTACTGATCCGTCGGCTACCCGACTCTGAGACGTGTGGTGATTGCGTCGTTTGGTATTATGTTGAACTATGTGATGGTATAGATACCATCACTGCCCATTGTATCACTTTATTATGGTTTTCTCTAGCTGTTATTGAAAATTTTACACCATAGTATACCATCGCAATCTTTTACGCGTGCATGTTGTTGTTGATCACTTACGAAGGATGTTCGTCGTTATGAATGACTCGTGTATCCACCAGCCGCGTGGTGGCTGTACTGTTAATGTCGTCGATTGTTACCTTTCGATCCACAGAAAATAAAACTACCATAAAGACAACTGTATAGATTCGTGCTAAATGTCAATTATTATAGACGCTCAATAATTAGATTCCCAGGGAACAATAATAATTGTAGGTACTCGAGAGAGATTAAAGACCATATCGATATTACACCCAACCTAATCTTCAACGACTGACACACAGGTTCTTCGAATATATAATATCAATTTATAATGTTATTAATTACGTACGTCAATATCAAACTATTACAATTGATTAATGCAATGCTGAAATAAGTACATGTTCAAATGGCGTGTGTTCAAAATGCACGTATCTCGTTTCGTCCTGACTGTGTTTAAAGAACATAATATATTTAATACCGGCGTGAGAAGCAATTTGTCTACATGTAATGACATTTTTAAAAGTATTACCTATTAATATTAATTATTATGAAACTATTCACACTGTTTTACTGTAGTGTGGGACTGTACGAAATTATATGAACTATGATATGATGATATAATAGAAAATGGCGTATCTATGATAAATCAAATTTTTTTGTTTCATTAGATTTTGAAATTTGCATTAAGCAATAGCGTGCTAATTTATTTTCAAATTGTTTAAGAGCATCGTTTATTAAAAAAATCATTTTTAATACTATACCAAAATGAAAAAAAAATATAAAATAAGTTTTTTAATTATATTTTTATTTTATAATATTATAGATTTTTTTCGGTTTTTACTATTAACATATTTCACATTATTTAATGCTTTATTTTTTTTTATTTCATAGTAGCATACGATGAATCGAAAATTCTTTCATGGGCGAGTGGTGGATGTATAAGACGTATATAACCTCGTATAACTGATTTAATTACGATATTTTATGATTAAAAACCATAGACGTGTCTTTGTTACATTTATTACATAATATAATAAATAGTATTTAATCTAACGACATAATAGTACGTGTCAATTTAGTGAAATACAAGTTTATACGACTGGATGACCGATCGTCGGTTAGATACGTGTTTAATTTATTGATTAAACTACGGATGTCGTCTTTGTCGAAACTCATTGGCCTACAATTAAAAATGCTAACGTAACTTTTAATGAATCCATGTAAAAACTAATATTAAAGCAAATGGCTGCTATACAAAATTTTATCGATTCGAGGGACACAAACACACGCACAGGAAATTTCATCACCCGATATTTGGCTAACAGTTGCAGTAATAACTTGATTTATTAGGTATGCGTTATTATATGATACAAACTACAATTAGATATTATGCTTCATAAAAATATTATTAATAATACTAAAAATAATCATTTTTTTTCGCGAATGTTTACATAACTACATGCGAATAATGGTACTCATTTACGTATCATATGAATAAAATTCTTTTTCATAAACTTTAAGTTGCACTAGTAGCAATGTAAAATACTTAGGTATTGGTTTTAATTTGAAACTTAAAATTTTTGGTCTTAAATCAAGTATGCAGGATATTATAAAAATTAAAGAATCAACTAATTTACATTTCTTTAAAATAAGCTTTCATTAGTTTTTTTTTTTGCTTTTATGTCTTTAAGCCAATTAATTTTTGTTTTATAAAATTTCTCTATGAATGTACTTCACTCGTGTGATATGATAGTATTTTAAGATATTTGAATTTATAACTCAGAGTCCTTTTAAAAATAACTTTATATAATACTTACCTTTAAAATGACATGTTAAACGGTGATCCCATTCAAATTAGCCGTAGAGTGTTAGAATTTTGTTTTTTAATTCATATTCTAAAATATTGATCAAACACTTATTTAAGTCAACAGTATCTACATGAATGTTATCAAATCAAGGGACAACAGACACGCACGTAAAGTGTCATAATTTGTTCGTTGGCAAGCAATCACAGTTATAACTAATTTATTATGCGTTATATGATACAACAGTGACTAACGCGTGCAAAATATAGTTTTTTTGCAAATGTCGTAATACATATACATATAACTGTACGAATAATTATGACTCCTAAATATATCATAAATAAAAATAATAGTGTTTTTTTAAATGTACTACATACATTGAAAAAAATATGAATTCTAAGGTTTTAATTTTTACATTAAACTTATGATTTCAATTTTTAAAATACGTAGGTATGCAGGATATTATGGAAATTAAAGATTCACTCAATTTACGTTTCTTAAAAATAAGCTGTCACCAATTGTTTCACATTGTTGTTCAACAGCTAGTTATTATAATTTTTTTTTTAAAGATTTATCCAAAAATATATTTCATTTTTGTTCAATATTATTCTATAGTACACTATAATACATGAATTTATTATTTCAATTACTTTTCTAAATAATGTAATTAAAATATGTTTTTTTAAATTAATACTATAAAATATAGAAAGAATGCCCAAAGTTTTTAAAATCAATGTTGTATAAAGACAAAATAAATCATAATTTAAAATAATATTCATTGTTTTTTTATTTTATGTTAAATACTTAATGTTGTTTACTAGAAAGTAAACATTTAAATTTGTATAATAAACTCGTTAACTCAAAAAGATTTTTTTTCTCTATTAATAAAGTAATTAAGATGTTTCCTGTATGATATTTATATAATAAATAAGATTTAAAAATGGAAATAATGTGAAAAATATAAATAAAAGACAAATATTAATTGATATCATCGTTATAAAACCATTTCTTCAAATTTTTGATTTTGAGCAGAGTAATGAATACATTGTTTTACAATGATGTGTTGTTTTTTTTTTTTTGTATGAGTACTTTGAGAGTTGCTTTAGATAGTAAATTGAATCTAGTTTATACTTTTAAAGCGTCAAAATTAAAATGCTCATCATTTTTTTTTATAATCGAGAAAATAAACAAAAAATTAACAAAAAATAGGAATTTTAACACTAAACCACATTATGACTAAATCGATTTCTTTATTTTGTTATAATTCAAAAAAAAATTATCTCAGAAACTTGAAATTTTCATAAAATATTTATATTATGATTTTATATTTATAATAAATATTGTATAACTTTTAAAATATTTATATTTTTTTTTAGCTATATCTATAAATAGCTCAAAAAAAAAAAATATATATAAATATGTCTTTTTTTTTTTAAACATGAATACCAATAAAATATTAAAGTATCTATTTTATATTAAGAATTCATTATTTTTGTTTTATGGTATTAATATAAAAGAATAAAAGAATATTTCAAATTAGATACATTTTTATTATATGGTATAAATGAATAAATGTATATCATTATAGTAATTAAAGTAATTAAATACTACATTATCAAAAAAATATACCTAATAATTTTACTAAAAGTAAAATGAATGGCTTTAGTTGCTATATTAATATATATTATATACACATCTATCACTAAATAAACTTAGTAATATTTTAGTTAAACAGACCGTTTCTGCTTAGAATCATTTTTTGAAGGGGTACACAGGGAAAATTCTCAAATTTAAAATGCACATCCTTAAAAATAAAAGCATTTTTCTATTAAAATTTTATTAATTTTAAGTAAATATTATTTTTAATTAAAATATTTTATACTGTGTACTATTTATAAAAAATAAGAACTTATCAATCATCATGTTCCTAGCTGCCTGTGAGATCTTCACTTTTTGTGCACCTCCAGAATTATTTTTCTAGTTGCATTAATGAATATATCATTAAATTCAAATTTAACATACCCACGAGACCATAACAGTAACCCGCTCAACATCTAATGTACAACAAAACGATATCCACTTACCCTTCTTTTTTGAATTTAAACTTTGGAGGTTTTACTACGTGATCATCGAATGTAAATGGAGTTTTGATCTCATAAAAACATGCTTATTATAATGATTAAAAATGACAATATTACTAATATTATTGTTTTAAAAAAGTGCGTACATCTCCTTTAGCGAGTACTTATGTCGGTGGCATATGTGACACTTGGCATAAATTTAAAACAGTTTACTGAATCTCACATCCTACTAACATATTTGTATAATAACTTGATACTTGATTTAAAACTTACCGTCATCTAAAATAATATAAAAAACAATAGTATATTCGCCAATGCACTATAAAATATTCGTTGGCTTAAAACGAATAAAATTATATTGATGAATGATTAATCGGATATTAATAGTTGTTAACATGGGAAAAAACAAATAATAGACTGACATCATTTATATATGTTTTTATTAATAACTTTTATTTAAATTGCATTATTATATGACATAATATGTCGAATGTTATTGCATTTTAAATGAATGTGTATTATGATTAAATATAAAATCCAATTCAAAATTGTATAACATAATCAGATATTTAGAGTGTTTTCCATTTAATAAATAATTTTATGGTAATAAATTTTTATCTAGAAAAAATATTTTTAATAAACATTAAATATTGTTTACGATTCAAAAATATAACAATCCACTTTTTTTTTTTTTTTAGGTAAATTTGTCAACATCGAATCACGAGTTCTTTACATTTAAATAATGTACTAAATAATAATAGATTATAAATTACTTAAATACAAAAAGTTTTAATTTTTTATTTTTAGTCGCTAATATAGATACTTCTAACGTATTTGAACGGATTACATAAATCTTCAAACCAAAATGTCAATATCGTAACCAGATACATTTGATTCATTCTCGTTTTTGTTTTTCAATTATTATAAGTAAAAAAAAAAAAAAAAACGTACGGTCTATTTTCACAATATTATCGTATGTATTTTCCATTTTAATTGAAAGCTGTTGTATGAAAGTGAATAATATTACATTGTAATAAATAATAATATGAATAATTGATAAATCGTTTACAGGTATGTCACAAATCTAAGACCCAGTTTATACAGCATTATTACACGCATCGATAAACCGGAAAATAATTCGGTCACGTGCGGTGATGGTCATAATATAATATATTATACGTATTATACCACCAACGATTTTTATAAATACAGTCATCGGTTATGGCTGTACATCAGTTATCAATTATTTGTTCGGCAGTAGTCTACAGGCTATTCTTCATTCGTCTGTATACTTAACTGTTTTAAATACAAACAAATTTAACTATAATTGATAGAAAAATGAACACCAACACTATGGTAAGTATACTTAACACAACATATTATATTAATCATCTTTCGTCGTCTATTCAATTTTAAAATAAATTTAATATTAAGTATATATCAATAGTCTAAAAACTTCGATATTTACAACAAATTTATCTACAATATATTGTTGTAACTACCTATGAAAATGTTGTCAATTCGACGATACAGTATCTGTAAAAAATATTATTTTCTAACTCTTTACCATTTTTATTGGGTAATATTTTACTGGGTGGTTCACCAAACAAACTCATTCCCATTTTCACTTTTTAATAATGTATTATTAATATTTAAACTGTTATGTTTGAAAATTTTAAGTATTCTTAAGAAATTTTTAATAAGTATCATGTTTTCAAACATTTCCATTTCTATACCATTTAGGCTTATTGGATTTTTTGTGGCGATAGGTACCAACTTCAAATTTTTTTAATAAAAATCCCCCTTTTTCAATAAATTTTAAAGCAGATAAATTTTTTGAAAATGTTTATGTATCTATGTATCTAAATAAAAATTTAAATGAGTAATTTTTGAGTTATTTAAATCAAGTAATGAGGATAATATGTTTGGAAGATCCGTGATCAAGGACATCATTTATGAGTGGCAGGATTATGCATTTTCCAAACCCTAGATTTTAAAATAGCTTTTAGCCAGCTTCTGGGTAACATAAAAGGCCGTGTTCAATGGCATCCTCTGGGAAGATCAAGATAGAAACCTGTCTCATTTTAAGTTATGATGAATTTAAGTAATTAACAAAAATTTATTAACATTATTTGGATCCAATAAGTACTAATTACTGATTAATTAATTAATTAATGTATAACGTTTATAAAATGTTTGGTAAAAACTCTTTTTAAGAACTATTATCTTTAATAGATATAATACATAGACATTTTAATAACTTAAAAACTATTCGTTTAAATTTATATTTAGATAGATACAAGATATTTTCATAATAATTTTTTTAATTTTATTTGACTTTTTTATTATATATTTGTTAATACTATAGTTAGTTAGGTTAGGTATGGTTGAGATATCTACATATTAATATTATTATGGTGATTAAAATCGTTATGCCAAGCGTTTTTCAATATTTTTAAAAACATAATTCCATTAAATTTTTGTTCGCTGATCCAATATAAAATATCGCCGCATATCAATTAGGTACGTAAAGGTTCTTTAAACTGTTAAACCATTAAGAGGAACTAATGCATTAACAAATAAATACACTTTAAATCCTTATTAGTGAAAAACTATATTCATTAAATTTTGACTCATGTTGACATGTATTATTAAGAGCATCTCAGGTTATAAAATGAAAAATATGTTTGTAGTATTAAATCAAAATTTCGTTTAGTGGTATACAAAACTGAGTGAAAATAAATTGTTAGAACAGAACGGACTTCGGAGTTTTTTAATATAAAATTTAGAAAAAACTCAATTATGATACTGAACATGGACTTCAAACTTACCATACCTTAAAATAATAATATTGTGTTATTATTATTCTTTTCTAGTCTCTGTTTGCGCTGGTCGCCTGCTGTCTGGTCACTATGTCCGTCACCGCCCCATCCGGTTTGATCTCTGTGCCCCTAGCCTCAGCACCTGTTGTGGCCGCCCCAGTCCAACCAGTGGTCACCGCTTACAGTTCGCAGTATGTGGCAAGAAATTACAACGGAATTGCCGTTTCACCCGCTGTCGTTCCTTCCGCACCCATCGTCACCTACCCTGCCGTAGCTCCAGCACCCGTCTACACACCCGCCGGACTCACCTACTCAGGACCTCTGGTTCAAGACTATCTTTTCTGAAGACAACCCTCGCGCATAACAAATATATTATAAATTATATTGCATAAAATAAAAGATGTCCACAAATATTGTCAGACCTATTATTGAACACAATAATAAACAACAATAAACTGTCAGTAAAACAATTTTCGGTAAATGATTTTTGATTTTCTTGCAAACGAAGAAAATGTTCTCAAAACTCATTCACGTAATTCCAATAAACAATATTAAACATAATAATAATATGTTTTTATTAAACTTGCGTAATGTAATAACGCGTAGTACTAAAGATGTAATTATCCCATTGTTACTTCCTTACTTACAGTCCTATAGTGTACATACTTTGCAGTGTAATTCATGTGAACAAATATGGAATGATCATTAAGAGTAACTTCAGATTGAATATGTTTGAATTTATATAATTATATTTATATCATCATTATGTGATGACGCGGTATTGATTATGATTAATAATTAATATTGATAATTTGTGTATGATCATTCAAAAAAAAAGAAAACTGTATAAATAATTATTTACCATAATGTTTAATATTATTATATTATATTCTGACATAATTAATTAGATAACATTCAAGTTTTTTTTTTTTTTTTTATCTGATTACAAAACCATATTACTTACACATAACACTGTAATGATAATACTTTATTTAAAATCATAAGTTTAATCTCGAGAATAATAAGGAAGGCGCTTCCTCGTGACATTTTATAGAGCGGGCAAAAATATCGTTTTATTTTTCCTTTTGTTTTTACCCCTAATTCATAGTATATAACAACATTTAAAATACTTCTTTTTTTTTAGTTTTTATACGCTTGAATGTTATTTGTATTCAGTGTAAGATTTGTGCAATTACTAATTAGTCATTTAAATATTTATAAAATGTGGTTAATTAACTTGAGCTAGTTTAATTAATGTTCTACACTACGATAAATTTTCAACTTGATAAAGCTACCAAATAATATAATATTTAACTCTAAAAATTTAAAGTTAGTAAAGAAATAAAATATTAACAATATTAATACTATTATTAATTAGTTTCAGTAAATTATTTGTTTGTTTATTTTTGTCTACTGCGTAATTAAATAATAAAAAAAAGGATGGAAAACGGTAATATGCTGTACAGTAGGTGTCAATAGTGTACATCATCATTGAGAAGTAAGTCATTGGTATGTATATTCTGTTAAATTTGAATTTAGTGATAAATCATTGTACATGAAAAACAGTTTTAAACAACAACTATCTGTTAGTTATATTTAATACTATAATTTTATGACTATTAAAATGATTAAATTTTCTATTAATAATGCTATAGGTTGAATTAATTATATGCGATTATAATTTAGTAAATTTTCAATTTAGGATACTCTAAGCCAACTGTAACGTAGAGTTACAAAAATGTTAACTGTTTTCTTGATATGGCCATGAGCCAAACACTCTATAATATGGTGGAAGGATGCTTAACTTATTATTTAAATATAATGGATTTTTCAAATTAACTGGAAAAAGCTAAAAGTTAATGCGATTGAAAATTCATCAATATTTAATAGCAATAGTTAGCTAATTATCAATACTTACTATAAATCGATTGGTAAAATTAACCAATTAGTTATATAATTATGTGTTAAAAGTGAAATTGAAAATTAATTAATTAGTTTATCTTTGTTTATATTAATAAGAACATGGAGATTACGCATACAATAATAAGTATTTAATTTATTTTTATATTTTGTACTAAATACATTTTAAAACATTTCTTATTGCCTAATCATTAGTTATTTAGAATTTAAACTGTATTTTAAATGCATACGCTTATACATTATAACTAAATGAAATTATTATAATATCGTTTGTGTAAAAAATTAATTTTTAATAAACAATACAAAATTTTTTATATAACAAAAAACGCAATAAACTAAGTGCTATTTAATCGAAAAAGAAAGATAACACAGTTCAACAACACCAAAAGGTTAGAATTGTACAGACTCATAAATAAGGTTGGTAAGCGATATATTGCACAATTGCTGATAGCATAATAAAATCGACATAACGTTGGTTACCTCTCCACATTTTCCAGCCGTTCTAGGACGATGAGTGGCAGGCGCGTGTCTTCGGAGAGTGATGACTGATGACTATGATGGCTGGTGACAACTTATTGCAACAGCGATAGACTGAGCTTGAGGCATGATATCGGGTCATCGCGTCGGCAGTGAAAACGGCATTAATAGTGCAGCGATGCCGATGGAATTTCGGTAAAATATACTATCTTTTGCGTGGCGTCTGTTACAAAGGTTCCTTGACTGACTCCTGTTTGATATGACGCCGAATCAGTTCCCAGCAACAACCAATGCCGAGTATCGGTGTCTTATTTAGACGACATTTGTAGTCAGCCCACACGCGTAGACGGAACTCTTCGGAGACGACCGAACGTTCTCATATGAAGCTGCTAAAACCGTGATTATCGTCATCCTCGATACGACAACACACTTTATTTATTCTACTCGTGTGATAATGAACAGGATAGTACCGACATATATCAGTAAGTATGTAGAGAGTCGGTTTTATTTGCCACTGCCGAAACAGTTACAAAACAATGTCCGGTCGACAAGAACGACCTATGGCATCACGCCATAGTTTCAAAAACTCTTCTGCCTTATCAGAAAAATTGCTATCTTCGCTGATATCGATGACCGCTGTTGGCCCGGACACGTTGACGAAATTCTCGTGGATAATGGAATTTCCAAAATCTCTGCCACTGAATTTCAATTTGGCCGTTTTTAAACACTTCTAAAAATTTTTTTCATATCTCATCGCCTGATTTTTCCAAATCAGTTAATACGTCTTTGACTGCAGCATGAAAGATTTTCTGCTTTTTCTGCTTTTCTATTTTTGCCTCGATAACTTCAATTTTTGGCTACAAAAAGGCTGTTAATATGTCACTAACTCCACTTATAGTGGCGTTTGCAGGTAATTGATTTATGACTGTTGTAAATTATACTAATTTTATCAAATAAATAATATTTACTCTAAATCTACGAGGCAATGATAACAATAGCTATGTTTTTTAATATTATAAAGCAGTTGATTAGTAAGCATACTTAAAAAATGAATAATTACAGCATATTTTTCCAAAAAGCATTGATGTATATTTATAATAATTATTATGATACGAGACAACCACTTACTATTTTGAAGACTCGACATATTTCTTATGCTGTTTCCCAACTCACATCCATTACATAATTACATAGTTAAATATATAATAATACTATTATAATCATATATATATATTATATATTTAAAATATTATTACTAATAAAAATAAAATTATCTACATAACTAAAGTCAAAAGTCTATAACTAAATATTAAAAAAAAAAGGTGGGCAAATAGGACCGCTCTTCTAAATACTAAGTGTCAAATGGGTTACTATATGAGATGGATGTGCTAAATTTTAATTTAATAGTATATCCATAGGTGCAACTTAGCTAATATTTTTGGAGGTGCATAAAAAGCGAGTATTTTCACAAATAGCTGGAAACATAATAGGTTATTATTTTTTTGCAATATATACAGTATAATACAAAATATTTAAATTAATGATAATATTTACTTCAAAATAGACAAATCTTAGTAGAAAAATATTATTATTTTTAAGGATGCGCATTTCAAAGTTGAGGATTTAATGGATGCACAAATTCTCTTTGTACTTTCATGTTGCGTCAGCGGATATATCATTATATACAAAAAACAACTCTATACAGAGGCAGTCAGTATCATAAAATATTCCATATTATGTTTTCGACATTGGTATTAGGTGAAGTAATTTATTTTAAAATTAGTAATACAGTAGGTTAAATTAGTTTTTGATGAAAATATTGTATTTGAAAATATCATTATGCGTATAAAATAAATAATATACATAAAAGTTATATGTCCCTCAAGAATAATGTTTTCAAACTAAAACAAAATCATTAATATTGCTATTAATAATTTTATTTGAATTTATAATTTCATTCAAATTTTAATTTAAAATGTCTGTAAAAAAATAATGCTTACATATTTTTAGAATTTTTAGTTTAAATATGAACTATTTTAAAGCAATTTAAAAAAAAAAGTATAAATAATTTTTTATCAACATTTATAAAAAATCTAAGCAAAATTTTAAATGCCTTTATGTAGCTCAAAATGATTCAAAATATTTTGAAACCTTTTTATAAATTTAAAATTGTCATTTAAACATTTGGGAAACATTTCAAGTACTTTTAATTAGACGTTTTTGAGTTACACAAATAACCAGAATTGATTTAGTCGAAAATTATATTTGCGTAAAAATTATCGTTTTTCCTTAATTTTTGATTCTGAGCAGAGCAATGAAATTTTTGATTTTACAATAATTTATTGAATAATGTATGTGTGTTTTTTACGTGTTTATGTACACAATAAGTAGTTAATAAGATACTTCGAATTTTAATTATAAGGATAGTTTTGAGTAGAACAGTAGATCTAGCTTGTGCTTTATAGAGGTTAAAATTAAAAATGCTCAGTACTTTCTTTTGTAACCGATAAAAACAAACAAAAAATTAAACAAAACCTAGAACTTTTTCGCAAATACAATTTCTGACTATTTATATTCAATAATATTTTATGTCCAATAAAAATCACTCAGCGTTTTTCGGACCATATGTTTAGTACTTATAATAGTCTTTATATAATACATCTGCAGTCTGTAATATAAAGTAAAAAGAGCTATTAATATTTAACCATATACGAAATATGTCAGTTTTAGGTATTATGAACATATTTTATCAAATCACATCTATAATAAATATCGATTCATAAAGCTATAATTATTATTATCGCCTTCTTCAATAATAATAATTTATTAAATACCAATAACATTAATTGGCTATGAATGGTAAAAAAAAAAATCATTATTTAATTATATTATTATTATTATTAACCTGGTTAACTTAAGTATACTATAAATTATAATACTTTAAAAAACAATAAATTGTTATTTTATACTTGAGCTTAACAAAATTAAAGACGAACTTAAGAATATGTACAGTAATTAATATTCAATGATATAAATAACTTTTGGTAATTTCTGAAAAATACAAAATAGCTTTTATTTAAAAAAAATTACTATTAGAAAAATAGAAAGTTAACGTAAATTTTGCGATAATCCATCAAACGGGATCAATCGAACGACGTAGTTTTTTTATTAGGATAAAGGCTTCGACTACAAAGGTTATTAGCCTGTAAATTTATATTATAGTTTTGTTGTTGTTATGATTATTACACAATCATCATGAGATATTATAATGTTTGAGCTTGCAAACTTCCGCTACATAAAAACGACTATTTGCCTTGCGAACTTTTAATGTTTTTATAATATGAATGAAAAACGGAATAAAACTTTGAAGAGTCCACGTGAATCATGACAGCACGTGTTTGTTTTTTGTTTTGTTTTTTTTTTTTTTTACAGAAACAAATGCTACTTTTTTAAGTAAATCATGTATTGAAATCAGAGAGTTACATATTAAAAATATGAAGTACCTATGTATGATATATTAACAGTTTTTATAAAATGTATACATAATAAGTGCAAAACATATTTTTAAATTGAACTACATTGAGTTAAAAAAAAAAAAAAGTAGGATCTAAATAGTCACTGAATCTTTAGCCAACACTTTAATTTACATAATTTATTAAAATATTTTAATGTGCTCTATTACGTTTTGGATATGTATGATTATTGATTACTGATCAAAATATTTTTAATCAAAATAATTATTGCGAATTTGTATAGAATAAATTCACCGTTAGACGTTAGTACACGCGATTTTTAATAATATAATGATATCATAATAGACGTTGTCAGTCAGTATACACTCTAACCAAAATATACGTAATACATATTTTTATTTAATTATCTTCAGCTTGGGGGATAAAATTATTACCAAATCATTATTTCATTAACGATCGATCGGACTTAGATGTGTGGTAATCCGGTCAGAAATTTTCGGAATTTGCACGTATTTAATTTACATTGTTCTGTTTCCACCTATAAACCTATACCTATGTATTTTTATCCAGATTATATAAAATTTTTAATTTTAATCAAACCACTGCAGTTATACTGTATAAAGCAGGGGTGACCAACATAAATAGGTTCGCGGACCACATAGATAAATGCAATGATACCTAGAGCCAAAATGTTTGTATAACGCGATAATTTTTTATGAGCTGATTTCTAAAAATTGAAATTTATAATAATATTGAGTAAATTTTGATTTTGTAAATAAAACGCGAACCGCATCTGACAATGACGAGAGCCACATGTGGCTCACGAGCCGCAAGTTGGCCACCTATGGTATAGAGTATCTTATATTGTGTTAAACATTTAAAACCATTTTATAAAAAAATATTTCTTGTATTTTAAAAATTACATAAAACGGAAACGTGTTGAAAAAATTAGTTGTTTTTTTTTTAAAGACAATCTAAAATATTTAAGACATTAAAATAAATCGTATTATCATTGCCTCTTTGATTATTTGTATATTTGAAAACAAATATTGACGAATATTACATATCTACTACACGTTCGACACTATCTGAATACTTTTTACTTCTACCAATATATTATTATAAATGTATTATATATTATTACATTAATGTATTTTTTGTTACAGTATACATTCATTTCAAAAATAAATTACGAAGAACTTAGAAAATACTCTAAAACCATAAAAAAATATCCAATAAATTTGAATCAGTCAAAAAACTTTAAATAGAAATATCATTAAATTAACTAAGATTCCATAAGATATATTTTCTACCCATAGATTTCAAAATATAACATTGCATTAAACCCCCACTTCTAGTTATAAAAATAAAAATAATTTTTTTTTTACTTTAAAGCAGTGGTTCCCAACCTGGGAGGCGTATACACATCGCTGGGGAGGCGCAAGCAGTCATCACAAAGTAAAATTTTTATTTATCAAATTTTATTATATTTAAAATTCTACTATAATACTATATTATTTACAATTATTTATATTTTATAATTACTATCATCAATAAAAAAGTAGTATTTTCGAATATCATATAGTTTGTTTGTAAAATGTAAAATAAACAAAAAAATTATAATTTTTTCAAATTATAGGTGGGGGGGCGAGATTTTTGAAAATCTACAAAGGGGGTGTAGAATAAATAAGATTGGGAACCACTGCTTTAAAGCCAATCAAAGGTATTAAGTATATGTACATTGTACATATAAATATATAAATTTAAAAAATCTCAATTAGACTTAAAGTTATTTATTACTCATCATTCACTAATACTGACGTGTAATTCTTTTTTCTCGTGTTTTTCAGTACATTGAGAACCAATTGTTACTATCACAATTATTGTTTTTTATATTGAATATATCCAATCTCGACCTAGAATTTTGGTTTAAGAAATGATAATGTATGACAACGTAATCTCAATAACATAACCCCATATAATTTTATTTCTAAAATCATTTGTTTTCATTTTAATGCCAAACATAAGTATATATTAACTGATACAATAAAAATTCTAATGCAAGGGAGTGATGGTGTTGTTATGGGCGGGGGAGGGATGTGTAGACACTAAACGAGTAGCTTCTAAATTAGTTTTTATAGTAGGTGTTTAATATTTATCAATTACGTTTAAGCATTCATGTTTAATATGTTTATTTACGTAAATAAATACTTTGTAAACATTACCTACGATCTATGTTATATATTCATAAATAATATTGTCTAAAATCATCATAAGAATAATAAACAATGTCTAATATTTATGGAATATAAGTTATGAATTTTATGATCAATAATATATCATATTTTCACAATCAATTGTTATTCTTAAATACCTATAAAATAATGAAAAGGATTATCATGCAAATGGACTAAAATTATAAATAAATCAAGACCAAATTCAAAACCTAATGTTTCAAAAAATTCAAAACAGTAATTTCACATCATAGTATTTATTTTTATTGTTACATTTCTATCGACATCTATTTAATTCATACGAAACACATTAAAATCACACGCTAATTGAGTGGCATAGTAATTGTTACATGTAAGTTATAATATGTACTATATAGGGTATAGATTAATAATAATGTTTCATATATTTCAGTATTATAAATCTCTCTTATATTTTTAATATTAATAATTATTTTTACTTCAAACTGTGCTATTTAAAATACAGTCACATTAAAAATGTTTAAATGTTATCTTACCAAGAAAACTGTGTAAGCCTAGTACATAATAATATTATAATATTGTCTAATACACTAGATTTAAAATAGGAAATGATTACGAGGGTCAAACATTATTTGTACAATGAAAATTATTGAAGAATAGGTTATACTATTTCTAAAATACTATAATTCTCACAAGTAAAATATCATTAAAAAAAAAAGCCTTTTCATGGTGAAATTGACAAGTTTTTTTTTCACAATGATATTTTAAATGTATCCTATCTGGCGACCATAACTATTTCGTTATAAGAATATATTTGAAGTATATAATTTATTTGAATTTGTAGACCATTTTGAATTTTTTTTTAATCCATAGCTATAATAACCGTTCGTTTGAATTTAAGATAGGCTAGAAATTCACTACAAATAAACAAATACTCATAGTCTAAAAACATGCGGGAAACATTTAGTTATGGTTAATATTTATATATAATAAGGGATACGACTAATGGATGATAAATATCTTTAGCTATTGTTCGATTGTTCTGTTTTTACATTATACGTATATACCTAATATATATGGGCGTACACGGATTCCGCCGATTTTGTATCGACTCCGCAGGCTATTGAATCCACCGAGCCTCAAAAACGTTCAATAGTATAACATAAATATTTAAGATTAAGTGTTAGTTTATAATATCAACATAATAAAAACGTAATATTATAGGAACATTTTTTTTTTTTTTAAATAATTTATACATTTAAAAATCTAGCATTACGACTCGTTACGCCATAAATTAATTATTAAAAAAAAATATATATATCAATAAAAAAGTAGTATAAATAAAGCCTATCCGTCAAATGACTGGTTTCTATCGATTTAAGACTCAGTGGACCAATATAACCAATAATATTATATACCTTAAATTTTCAAACCATGACGAAGGTAACGGCGGAATAGATGAATGCCCAACATAGGTAAATAACATCTATGCATGACCAACGTGCAACGGCATGAAAAGACGTCACGAAATTCTCAAATGATACCGAGGGTTGAACGGTGCCCTGCATCCACGGAGTGTTTGGACAGACGCAATCGTGGAGGCGGTGGCGATGACGGTGGAGGTAGTGCGAAAATGTGAAGATAACCGGAAGTCGTTGTTGAGTTGTATACAGTTGTAATCGATGAGGTTCCAAAAGTGTAGCGGGTACGGCGATAGAACAGTAGCGGCGAGTTTGGTTCACATGGTGGTCTTAGGGTAGACGGGAACCTTGGACGGGAACCCGGACATTCCGATGACGTACTTATAAGTGGTCGGCGGCCGGAGGATGGTCTTCACAGCCCTCTTCTGGCCACGGCCCTTGCTCTCACTACCGACCATCCGATCAATGACGGTACGCAACGACTTCAACCACTTGCCTCTATTGACGCCGCTGCCGCCACCTCCACAGTCGCTGCTACTACCGTTGCTGCTGCCGTCGCTACCGCGGATCGACGACGATTTGTCACCGTCACCGCTGTAGCAACCCTCGTCGGCGCTACCGCACAAAGAAGCATTGGCGCCCACACAGCTGATGCCGTCCTCGGACCAACTTCCGGAATCGTCGTAAAAGTCACTACCTCCGTTCCCGCTGGAATTCGAGTCGTCGCCACTACTGCTGCTGCCACCGCCGCCGCCCCCACCGCCGTCTTCGTACATCACCAGGTTGCAGGACATGTACGAACCGCTGTCGCGTTGTCCCGCTGTCGGATTGGTCGTCTGGTCGTCGTAGCTAGGCATGACGTGATCAATGGTATTGGTACCCTGGACGCGCGTCACTGGAACAAACGGATTTCAGCGGATGATCGTAGTATAGTTTTACGAGCGATGCATATTATAAAAAAATAAATATTATATCCACTATATAAGAACACCCACTCGGTTTACGGTTAACCGCGGTCACCACTTCGGTACAATATGACGACGTGTAAAACGACGGTGTGTATTGTGTGGTTTTTATGATATTTTATTTGGACACGATATCGTATGTATATCGGCTGTAAGTGAACAACGGACGCGAGTGAACGACTGTACGGCAGCGTCGCCGGCTCCGCGTGTTTTATACGGCCCCGGCACGCCGTCCGGGTCCACGTGAACGACCACCCCCCCACAAGTCACGCGCACCCGAACGGGGTAATAAAGTCGAGACGACGCGGCGTGTCGCAGGGTCGCGATGCAGAGACGCCGCGCATACACCAGTTTGCGGTACACGTGACGCGTGCGGCAAGACGGCAACGGCTCGACGGTGACTCGCGTGTGCTGTAATAATTATTTATCGTTTTGACATTATGTAAACCGCCGCCAACCGATACCTTGTGCTGTGTACAGCACGTGTACCTGACCAACGCATTGCGCGTGTGACTCACGACGACCGACGGGTGCGATAAACAACAATGTGATTATTTGTCGTTTATGCGAAGTCGTCGATCGCTTATTTATTTTAGACTCTGAGCAGTCTGCAGAGCGGCAGCGATGAGCGTATTGATTTCACAACGATTTATTTTGAGTGTGTGTGTGTGCAGGATAAACAGTCGATAAAACGCTTCGATTTTGAACCCAGTTTGTACTCTAAAGAGATCAAAATCAAAAAAATTATCAGTAATTTTTTTCATAACCGGGAAATACAAAAGAATTCGAGTAAAACGGTAATTTTTACACTAATCCAATTGTTGATAACATTGATTTTGTTTTTTTTTTTTGTGTAACTGGCGAACGAATAATCATAGATTCTTACAAATTTCACCTAATGGTTATATTTTTTTTGCCGTTTACAATCAAATTTTCAACATATTTTCACTTTTTTTTCAATTGTTTATAGACAATTGAGAATTTTTTTTTTTTTTTTATTGTTAATTATTAATATCGAATAAAAGTTGTAAGAAATGCTTGAAAAAATAATGCAAAGCTCCTCATTATAGCTGTTAATTTCTCAATTAAAAAAATATTAAAAATCTATGATCAGAATATTTTTTTTAATCTGTTAAATTTTGACAAAAATCATCAAAATCTCAAAAACACAAAATTTATTTTATAGTTAAAATTTTTGTGTTTTTACCTAAGATATAAGTATAACTTTTGTAGAATCCTGTAATAAATTTTCAAGAATTTTGATCCAGCAAATAATTAATAATCGACATTAATAAAAAAAATTTTAATTTCTCATGTCTATAAAATCTCTAAAAGAGTTAAACATTCAAGAAAATCATACCATTTGTTAAAAATAATATTAAAAAAATTGTGGAAATTACAAGAATTTATGGCTGTTTATTTTTAAATTACAACAAAATAAAAATAAAGCGTCTGGGAAAAAATAGTTATTATACGGGTAAAAACTCACCATTTTTAAATTAAATTTAGAATTATAAATGTTTTTCCAATAAAAATTTTTCCAAAACAATGAATGGGTAATTTAATTTAAAAGAAGGTATTATTTTATTTCATAGCTATAATATAGTTTATAGAGTTTTGTTATGTCATTCCTAGTTATTGTTAAGGTGATATTCGTATCATGGAGAACATTTTTTTATCCATAATTTGCTTTTTATACTCTGTAATTGACGGGCTGTCGAGAGAGATAGATTGACCGTCTCGGTGAGTATTGAAACAGTATAAAAATAAACGCAATTACTACCAAAATTGACTATTTTAAAAAAATGACGAGTGTCCAAAAATTATTTGGGTGTTTTTCTTTCAATTAATCTACCTACTAGACAGATACATATCGATGGTACTTTTCAAATTTTTTTTTTTTGGATTTTATCGTTACTATAATTACCTTCAAATGCTATATAATATCATAAATAACAATATAATAATATCATAAATATATCACTTGTATATCTATATAGTTTTGAGGTAGGTGTATCTTAAATTTTAATTATATACGTATGTATTTTATAATTTGGTTTTATACTACTACAGTACTACACACATTTAGTACTTTTTCAGACTTTAATGCTTTTTGATTTCAGTTGTAATCGTAATTCGTAAATAATTAATGATACGTAAAACGAAATAGTAATTAAAACTAAAATACTGAATTTCTATTCACCTTTATTATCGTTGTTTATCGTTTAAATGAGTAATTTTATTATAATCTGAGTATAAAATATCTATAAAAAATAATTATCTTTATATGTTTTTTAGATATTTTAGTTTTAATATGAACTACTTATGAGGAATTTTATATTAAATTTTTAAAACTTAGATACAAAAAGAAAATATATCATAAATTGTTAACTATAAAAGAGTTTGAAAGTTTATACAATTTTGACAAATTTTGTCAAAACTTTAATTTCGAATTTTATTTAAATAAAATACAATTTATTTTTAATATGTTTATACAGATATATGAACAACTTATATAGAATCTCGAATTTAATTTCTAAAAATTTTGACCGAGCAAATTGTTTTTAATCGTCATTAATAGAAATAATAATCAAAAAAAATTGAAAAACTCTCGTACTTATAAATAATTGAAAAACAGTTAAAATATTTTTAAAATATTATCGAATATAGAAAATGATAATATAAACATTTGGTGAAAATTTCAAACTTCTGAGATTATCTACTTTTGAATTTTAGTAATAAAATAAAAAAGTAAATTCGTAAAATCTGGTTTAATGTAAAAATTCATGTTTCTATATAAATTTTATTTTATTTTTTTTGTTTGGATATAAAAAAAGTACTGGCAACTTTTATTTTTTTTTACTCCCTAAGGTACCAATTAGATCCAATCCGTTACTAGAAACCATCTTCAAAGTTGAAACAATTTTACATTTTACTGCTTCAAAAGAACAAAAAATACGCACTTCGTTGTAAAATCAATGCATATTCATCGCTCCGCCAAAAATCTAAAGCAGTTATTAAAAATTGGTAAAAATAAATATTTTTTCAAGGAAATACTTCAAATGTGTACTTATTTGTTTTATTGTTATAGTTTACAATTTTGATAATTTGTAATCTAATCATCAATATTAATCTCAAAGAGTTAAATAAATAGTAAATAGTAATGTAACTCAGTTAGTGACTTAATAAAAATGTTTAATACTGGAGGCAAAACAAAATATTAACCCGTCTATCATAAATATGGGTATAGTTGATGATTATTTTTTTTTAGTAAGGGGAATAAATAACTTAAATGGTGGAATTCCGGGCTCCTTAGTTATGCTTATGAAATAGACATAGAAATGTAACTTATCTGATGCTACTATAATCTTATCAAAATGTCATGGAAGTATGATCCGTTATAAATTACAATAAAAATAAAATTGTTCTTTCTTTTAAAATATATAATATTGACTATAGCGAATAATTAAATTAAACTCGAAATTTAACTTCACATTTTAGATTGCCTGTTAGAGCTTGGATATTGTATGAAATTCTCTAGACTATTCATGACAATTTCTACATCTCCTACCCACATTGGACATTCTATACATTACCCCAATACGCTAGTAAAAATGTAAGTTGTGAGTCGAATGTCGAGTTAGTCACAAATATTTACGCCGAAAATCTATATTGAGTCGCGAAAAATCCACGGCCGACGTATTCTGCGTATGAAATGCGGCAAAAATATTTGCATGAGCTAACTATTATGCGGTGATCACGTCTACACACGAGCACATTTTCTACCGCACGAACAAATGTGTACCGAAATAACGTGCAAGTGTACAGCATACAGTTTTACCAGAATCCACTACCTACTAAACGGATTCAAAACACGTGGTACCTGCAATGTGATCACTGTGCACGTTAAATGGCTGTATACCCACGCGGCCTCGTCGTATTATGTATAATTATACATACATGTTGTACCTACGGCATGTAGTACGCTGCAACTGCCTACAAGTAAGCTACTGACGATACAGATGAACAGATGATAAATTGAAACCACCCTCTCTGATAGGTTTTTAGGGTTTCAACTGGTGATGGAAATAATTGAATTATTCAAATTATATTTTTCACAATTATTTTAATTAGAGAATCAAATTAGTTCGATGATCAAAATAATAGTTACCAAGACATTTTTTCAATTATTTATATAATTATTTAGAAAAGTTCGCATAATTGATATTTGACAAATAAAATAAATTTTCTAATCATCACTTGTATGTAATATCAAACAAATAAATTATAAAATGTCTGTTGTATTTAAATTGTATGCAGAATAAAATAAAATAAATACATATAAAATGTTTGAAATCACTTAGATTAATCCATTAAATTTTAATAACAATTAAAAAAAAAAAATAATAAAACCTAAATTTTTGGGTGAAATCAATTTCAACAATAAAAAATACACGTTCCAAAGAACGCAAGTCGCTGGTGTACTTAAATTCATATTTTATTAAAAATTTCAATAGATCTGAAAATGTATTTTTGTATTGACTTCTATACTGATTTTCTATAATATAGAATATAGACATGAGACGGCAGTTATCTGGTCGGGATAGATTAAGGCTCGGCTTACAATATTTATTACATACCTATTAAGAGGTGACTTACGTAACATTTAAATGCGATCGAATTTCGAGCGTTTAACCCATGACGATTGCTATCATAATAATAACTCTAGCGATAAAAACTATTAGCAATATTAAACACAAAGGACAAATGAACTGATATTGACTTCAAGTTAAAATTGTAAGTAAAACGAGTATAATGTAAATAAAAATTTGTGTCCGTGACTGTTATATTAAAAATAATAACCTGTGAAATTTCATCAATAACTTCTACGCACTCAAGTTTAATAGTCTATAATAATATGCTAATCACTATATAGAAAGTTTATTTCATAAACACTATTTGTGATCATAATTCACTTACTTATTCTAAGTGAAATATATGATTCTACTGTCTTTTATTAGAGCCACGGGCAGACTACATCGAAATCACGCTTTCACTTAGTCCAAAAAAAAAAAAGTTTACTTACTATTATTAATATAAATCATATATTTATCTTTAATTAATTAACGTTCGAGACAATCATAACCGATTTTTATGATCATAATATATTTAAATTATTAATTTCTGTGAAGATAACATTTATTTAAAATAAACTTTTATCAAAACTATTCTAATCGGTAAAAACTTTAAAACTAACGGAATTATATAAGCATTTGAATAAAGACATTTACACCTTAAATGTAGTTATATGGATTCTCGCAACAATAAAAAAAAAAAAATACAAATTATAATGGATATAAATATAATTAAAATATACCGTTGACAATAATATACTCGGTAGGAGTGTAGGACGTTCAAATCGTACGTCATTGGTTCCATAGAATAATATTGGGATAACTTATTATCTACTTAAATAATACATTATAATCAATCACAACGTTTCTATTTAAAATACGTGTATTATAGGTAAGTACAAATTATTTTTTATTGTACGACACCACTTAATATCTATATGTATTTGGATTAATTCTGGTGATATTATTCTGTTCAGATATATAATATCTTGTATAAACATTACAGTAATGTAACCAAGATTTTTCTCATAATATATAATACATATTATAATATTCATGATTTGGTTTACATAGGGAAGCTTAATTATACAGGTAAGATCCATTAAGTTTGATATGCTGTGCTGTGAACATATAATATTTTAAACTTTTCAGGGGCATTCAAATTTCAAACATATTAAAATGTTAATACAAAGTAAATTTTTACTTAATACGTTCACCAAACACTTCTACAATATGCTAAACTAAAACTCCCTTTTTTAGCTTCGGCACTGAATTATTCGTAGGTACATTAAACCTTATGTGTTATAACTATCTATATGTCGAATATACCGCCGTCTTAATTTTATACATCATAAATTTATAACACTTGATATATTAAAGATTTAAATTTCTTTATTTTTATTCATATACGTATAATTCTAATTAAAACTGAACGAAAATGCTATTATCTCATGGTTAGTTCCTTTTAAAATTAGCTATTGAAAAATTTTATTATGTTTTATAGATATAAAAATATAATATAATCTTTAAAAAATGTTAGTAAAACTTTTAGAAAACCAGATCATATTTCTAAACAAGGTAAAATGTTTATTTGTGATTTCAGAATAATTTTATTTTTCTATTATTAACACAAAAAAATAAACTATTATATACTTGTATAATGACTTTTAAAATATAAACTGTTTATAAAACCAAATGCATTAAATGGGGTTTTTGAACTTCGAACAATTAAAAATAATATAAATATTTCGATAATATGAAAATAAAATATTAATTAAATACCCGATCCTTCCATGCAAAAATATTTTTACCATTATTCAAACAGTTTTCTTATTTTAAATATTGGATATTTTTTTTTACCAAACAAAAATGTCTGAGTCTTTGGTCGTTGACTTCTTATTAAGATGAAATTTTACGTGTATATAATATTTGAATAATTTAAACATGTATTTCATTTTTAAACTTTACAGTTCTATTGTCTCGATAATTGCTATTTATTAACAGTTATAATTAATTTACGAGATTCGTTTTTTTTTTTTTTTTTTTTTTTTTTTTTTTTAATTCATAAAATCGCGTTTCATATACCACGAACGATTATAGTAATGGCTATAACAGTAAGTTAAAGTTTAGACACACATTTGTGTGTGATAGAGATTTAAATACCACAACGTGTATTGACACATATTAAATATTTGTTTTTTCAAATTTTTATATATTTTAAGAACAAATTCTTATGATAGTTCCCAGTTTTAGTACTTAATATTATTATTTCATCGCATATCAGAGGAGTTTGTTTGCATTATTATTTTTATTATCATTATTATTATAATTATTTTAATTTTATGTCTAAATATTTAAATGCTATACCACGCATTTATACATATTATATTAATGTAATAGATTTGTAACAGAAAAAAAAATCATCATAACTGTATTTTGATAATTAAATATAAATATTTCGACTATTCACCAAATACTTAGAGTATGAGTTTAAGTTTACTTACTGTTAAATAAACCATAAATGATAAAATTACTTTATAACGTTTCGTAAACTTATAAATCATGTGTATATGTACATCTTCGTAACAGTGCATATTACAAAAATTATTCTACACCATAAGTCTATAAATAAAGCTATTTATTGTATGTGTATTTCATTTTTTCGTCTCTTGAGCTTATAAATACATAATAATTTTAATAGCCACTATTTAATTATATTATAAGAAAAAAACAAAATTCTTAATAAATATTTTGTTATTCTTGATCCAATGACACCACCTCCGTGGATCATTATACAGATATAAAAAAATTTACGATAAATCGATATTGTACCATTGATTATAATATACCTGAGACATTAAACAATTATAGAACAATAAATTTAAACGATACTAACAATATTTTTTTATTGTTTCATTTTTTAATAACAATAATTTTTAATTAACATGGCACATTAAAATAACGTAATAATGTAATAAATATTACATGGAAGTTATGCTTGCTTTTTCAGTATTACACGTCTCTCTTTTTTTACATAAATTGTATTAATACCACAATAGCACACATAATAATATAATAATAAAATCGTATCAAAAGCGTAATTAAAATATCAAAAAAGTCGTAAAAAATTATCAGTATTATAAAATAATGTTAGAAAAAATTTTAAATTATATGCATAAATAAATTAGAAATCCAAAAAACGTCTCGAAAATATCGAATAACCGTAACTCGAGGACGATTCATCAAGCATGCTCACCAGCATATTTTTTTTTCGGGTAACAAATAATGATAATATTCAAATTCTGATTCTTGAAATTTTTAAACATACTCAAAAATGATATTTTAAAATTCTTAAATGTTTTTTGTATTGTTTAATGAGAGTCCTGTGGTGATAAAATCTTCTGTTTAATAAATAATAACCCACATTTTCTACTTTAAATTATTTAATAGATATTTTTATTTTTTTAAATTTCGATGTTCTTAATTAATAATTTAACGAGAATTTTTTGAATTTCTACTGAAAATATTACTCTTTAAAAATAGTCTTACAAACAAAAATAGATATAATATTTCGATCTATTATATATATCATTGATATTAATCACTAAAATGTTTTAATCGTCATAGTCCCCGCGGCCCATATCCAAACCCATTATTGTGGACCTAGTATCCTTAGTAAACAAGTTAAATACTTAAAAACTACTAGTTTGGATAACTGCGTCATTTAAAAAAAAGGGGAGGTAAGTATTGAGTATGCTTGATGAATGTACGGTATCGTAAACGTCGGAGGGTCACATTATAATAATTTAATATTTTCAGTCACAACATTAATTTTACAGCAATAATAATATATGATGAAAATCTCAAAGAAATAAATCGTTATAATCGGTATGATAATAATCGAGGTATCCGACTTCATAATGTTATTATATGATTTATTGTTACGTAATAATATTTATCGCATGAAATCTTCACATCGGCTTTGGTAGACGCCAACTTCCGGATGTGGCTTCTCACGTCCATCTCGGGTAAACGGCCACCTTTGACGGCAGTCCGGACATGCCGATCACAAACACGTACGTGGTAGGCGGTCTGAGTATGGTCTTGACCTGTCGTGGCCGACGTCCGCCGCCGCCTTCCATTTTGCCGATAACCGTCCGCAGCGTCTTCAGCCATTTGCTTCTGCTGCAGGCGCGGACCTCGGCAGCCGTCTCGTCGCGTCCGGAACAGTTCGAGTCAGAGTCCGTCGTTTTTCCGGACGAACCGTCGTCGTCGTGGTCGTTGTCGTTGTTGTCATCTTGGTCGCTGTCGTTGTTGTCGTCGTCGTCGTATTGGCGATAATGTTGCACGGCGGTCGGTCTGACTTCGCGGCACGGCATGATATGACGATGAGGATTTACAGTAGTAAATTCGGGTGAAGAAACTCTATTCGAGACGAACTCGCAGCGTTCAAATGCGAACTTATTTAACGAATCTGTCGCAAAACGGAAACGTGAAAATCGCGTGCGATAATTATATCGTACGCAATTATAACGCCGTGTTTTCTGCAGAGTGTCGTCTCGTCGCGGGTTTCACGACGATTGTGCAGCCGTTAGCGACGAGCGGACGCTCTTTAAACGCGACCGTCAATGATCGAGACGGCGGCGCGGTGACTGTGACAAAGTTGATGCGCGAGACGATGGCCGTTGAGGGTGGTGCCATTGGTCGTCTCGGCTCACGTGCCACCGCCGCCGCCGCCGCTTTTTACGAACGTTTACTGTAATAATATTATACGACACGTACGCGGGCACGCGGCTGATAACTTTGTATCGTCTCCGACAATGGAGCGCGTGCACGGGTCGCCCCAAACACACGACTGCGACGATATACTGTGATGGTATTACGTATCCACATTATATTTACTTCGCGTCATATAATTTACAACGTGGGTATTTTCACGTCATTGTGGAGTCTCTTGCGGTCGTGTTTATAACAATGAATTTTACGAATATTCACGTGGTAAACTATATTTCGAAAAGAGTGAAAGCGCAGATCGCCGCTCTGCTGCATGCCTGCAGGCTATTCGTGCGTACAACGTCGTTGAATTGGTCACTGATGTAATGGATGTTTTAGATTTAAATCCTACGATAAAGCCGTATTAATATAAACTTCTAGTTTTGATCAGACGATGAGATCGATCATCGTATTGATAAAATCGCCAAATCCTCGATTGAGAACTAAAAGCATTCGGTCCAGAAATACCAATGTTTACGACAGATTTGATATGACTTGTGAAAAACGAACTCCAAATGAACGACACGTTGTAGGTTATAGGTTCTTAGTATAACGCCCTGACGAAACTGTGTGCGAGACGAGTAATGAGAGTAATTAGAATGACGGCCCATTGACACTAAAAATAATGAGACTTGGGATGGACTTATAGGTCCTCCGCTCAAATCAATTAAATACTACCCAAGTAAATACTAAATATCATTATCTTCTATTGCAATTTTTGAATTGAAATCAATAAATATAATTTTTTTAAATTATTTGCACAGTATTTTTAATAGATAATTTAATAAACACGGAAAATGAAAATTGTTGTATTTTCCATAAAAAAAAATATATGATGAGAGACATTTATTAATTACACATTAATTAATATTGAATTAAATATTTTGGTAGCCACATATACGTGTACCTATATAATTCTTAAGTTTGATTTAAATTTTTTTATTTGATATATGTTATTATTGTTTCTCGTTCTAAAACTAACGCAGTCTATAGCAATCGCAAATACAGCAATCTACCACTAAAAGTAGATTTATTTAACTAAAAATAGTGACAAGACGGTGAGTTTTCTTTACAACAATAATCGTATATTATGTATACCTGCAGTATACCTAATACAAATTCAATCGGATTGAGATAATAAAAGAAGAACAAAACGATTTATTCATTTGGAGTAGTTTGTTTATTACTAGTACGTAAAACAGTGTATAATTCAAATTAAACGTTTACTCAATAATAATAATAATAATATTTGTTTTTAGTGTCGTTTCTAGTAATTTACTTAATGAATTGAATACACGTTGTGATTAAGCACGTGTTCAGTACACACGGCTGTATAAATCAAAACAATAAAACCGTGTATTAATATGTTCACGACAACGTGATAATTATTATTAACTTGTATTTTGTATATATGCATCTGTGAATGAAAAACAATGATAAAATAGCAGGTGACTGGGCATCTTTCTGTTGTACGGTAGGCTTTGAGCGGATCACTGAAATAGATGAGTTAAATTTGAATTCAGTTATATATTATTATCCACAAAAACCATTTTCATCAGAAACGATCTATTAGCCTATATCACTAAGCACGTTTTATATCATTATTAAAGAAATTTATTCTATTATTTTCATTATGATAGGTTGATTTTATTTTACTAAACATTATACTTAATTACATTATTAAAGGTTAATTTTTAAAATAATATTATACCTTTTTAGAATATTTTATTAGTTTTACCATTGTTATAAACTTTTTAGTTAATATCATTTTACCAGAAAATAGTATAATACGTGAAGGTATTAATAATTAGCATCTTAAAATTAATCTACATATTTTTAAATGCTAAATAGCGTTCATTAAAATTTATAATATACATAGAAATTTTAAATTTCAACGAATGTTCAAGTCTTGGCTATAAAAATTGAAGGGTTTAAAAATATTTTGCTACAAAATAGTTTAAAAGTTTTTATTTAATTGACAATTTTTTTTTTAAATTTTAACTTGATACTTATTTTATATTCAATGTACTAAATTTAATACATTTCAAACAGATTACACGGCGTTCTAGGTAGGCAATTTAGCTACATTACTGTTGTAAATCCATATTTCCAGTATTTCATAAGTTATATGTGTTTATAACAATATTACCTTTTTGATATTATGGACTCAAATATTATACCTAAAAATACACATTAATGGAAATCAATGAAATTAAATTCGATTTCAAAAATTATTTGCTATCAATAAATTATATAATATTGTATAAAATACAAATATTATATTATGTACAACTGATATATTAAAATGTAAATAATATCCATAAAATCATTCATTACTCTGAATATAAAACATAAAACCACGTTAATAATAAAGCTAATCATTTCTCAACTTTTTTGGCTGCACTTCTATTATATTATCTAAATAAACAACATGAAATTATAGTATGTGTTAACTATTTTTGAATTTAAATTGACTGATTATGATTTCCATTTACACTAAATTGCATACTAATTGGTAAGAAAAGGCTAAATAATAGAAATATAAACTTACAAACAATAAATTTATTTTTATTATCGTTTAAAAATCAAATACTTTTATACAAAGTTAATTTCATTTGATTTTCTATTTATGCTTTTATTTTTGTCGGTACTTTATTAATCAATTGTGAAAAATGGTTAAAATAGCTGATATATACTGATTTTTTATAGTATATGCTAACCAATAATTATTGGTAAATTCTCTAAAATAAAATACTTGTACTAATAAAAGTTTATCGGTCAAGTCCCAACGAAACAATTTAATACATATAAAATACAATAGTTGATCCTCATAATAGTTAACCAGAAGTAAAATCATATTTATTTTACTTTTAATGCAGTAAAATAGTGTTTTAGAGATTCAACCGATTACATAACATTATATGGTTCAGTCAAGATAAAAATTATATTTTTTATAATTTACAAATTTAAAAATTCTGAAAATCGATTGCCAAATATTAATACCTACTCAGACGTATTTTAATTTTTATACATTTTTATCATCTCACGTTATAAAAATTAAATATTTCATGATACATCGATTACGGAACAAACGTTTTCGTCGGTACGATTATCTATGTATAAATAAAATTATTCATGTACGACGTAATATTAACAATAATAATATACTCGTATATTGCGTATTATGTACATAAGTTTGTGTGACGCCGTATAACGTTTGCCACGACTATTACCGTACTTCAAGACCGATTACAGCGTGGGGTCTAATGGGATATTATATTATTATTATGATATACAGAGTGATTTAACAATCATGTTTGCTATCATTTTTTCAAATAAATAAAATAAACTTAAATTATTGAAATTTTCAAGTATATTTAAAGGCAATATTTTTACTCATTTGAATTTTTAACCATTTAAAATATATTCTGTGATGATATAAGCTTCTCTTTTTGGTCAAAAAAAAATTAATCCTTTTTATTGAGGATAGTAAAATAGATATTTTTTTCAAAAATATTAATGCATCCAAATCAAAATACAAACAATTAGTTTTTAAAAATATAAAAATGTATGTTCTAAGGTAAATAGTTCTTAAAAATAGATTTAAAAAATAAAATAAAATATATGTTATGTTGTAAGTATTATCTTCATACAATTTTAATAAACTATAAAATGTTGATAGATTACCAGAACTATTATTATGAATCAGCTATTATTTTTGGTACACGTAATCAAATAATTCATAAACTAATCGTTTAAATTTCGATTTAAATACCTAAATAAAAATCTCAAAAACCAAAATTAGATTGAATTTATTACTAAAAGAAAAATAGAGTTGAGCATGCAGGGTAAATCGTCCTGTATTTTGTATCTACTGCTTCTCCGTCTGCATTATTGTCTGCTCAAGTGTGTTATTGTAGCCTCGTCTTTTTTCACATTTTCCGGTTCGTCCGGTTTGTATCACGTGTGACATAATTTCTATTATATGCTACATCGTATTATCAATTCGTAGATCTGTTGGTTCACGTCGACGGTGGTATATAAACGTCATCGCAACGTCGTCCTCGGTCTTATTTTTCGTTGACATTGACAGTATTTTGACACACAATATTATACAATATACGCGCAACTATAATACATAAAACTATAAAAGCCACCTGTATAACACACTGTTGTGTTTACACGAATAAAAGAACATATTAATAGTTTATATATTGTATCTACTAACTGGATGGATCGTGGGCTACCCAAGTATTATCGTATATCATTTATTATAATGCAATGTGTACACGAGTTCCAATTTCTAAAATATATGTGGTTAGCACCGATTAGAATTGCTCGTATATTTTTAGCACCAGTAAATTAGGATGATATTATGAATGGTTAATAATAAATATATAACTTTTGAAGACACTTACTATTTAATATTCTATATATAATATACCATTTCAATAATTAATATTTATATTTAGTTTCCAAAGTACTAGGTCATTCTCCATGAAAATCGCACAAGTTTTGAATTTGAAACTTTATGAAACTCATTACGTTGATACTCGTTTCAAACTTAAAATAACTGTTTATGAGTATACATTTAAAAGTGTATATTATATTATATATATTATATACCAAATTAATAATTGCATCAATATTTTAATCACGTATAAATTTACTTTTAAACAATCAATTGTTGTTAAAAATAAATTAATTATACGCATAATCTATCTACTTGTATAAAATTGTTGGAACGAATGCAAAAACTTAAAATATTCAGATTATTTATTTATAATTTTTGATTATTGAATTTTTTTTTAAATAATTTTAAAAATGTTTAATGAGTCTATATAATTTAATCAATCGCTACTTTTTAATATTGCAATAAAACTCTCTTCAAGATTTAATATCATACATTAAAGTCATTAGATAGCGTAAAAATAATAAAATATTACCTATAACGGCTATAACTGTTTTATTATAAACAAAAAATATTTATATAGGCTATTAAACGTGAGTTATAATGGATATTATCGATTAGCAACAGGCAATAGAAATTTAAAAAAGTACATGTTTCAGTACAATAACAGTAGGTAGGTACATTCGATTGTATGTATAAATTATGTACCTATAAATAAATAGAAAATATAAATATGTTTTTTTCGGAATATAATAATAGTCAGACAAAATATGTTTTTATTTTATAAATCAAGTTATGTACAGATCTAATAAATTTATATTAATGATTCAAAATAATTTTTAAAAAAATCAATATTTGAAGATATTTTTATACGTTATGTAAAACGAAATTTTTAATTATTATGCTATTTTAGAATTCGCTAATTTATAATTACAATTTTTTTTCTCATCGCTTTCCCCTTTCTTATACTCGTATATATTGAAGTTATTTAATATATCACCTCTCAAAACTGAACTCACTAATATTATATAGATAGTCATTATAAATTAAATAAAAAACATTGCTATTTTTTGTATTTTAAACTTATTCAGAATTTCTAGTCAATTGAAAGTTGACATATATTGGTTTTTTTTATTATTGTTATTTTTAGTTTTTTATTGTTTATTTGTATTAGGTAAAATAAATAATTGTTGTAAAATTTGCATTTGTTTTTTATAGGTACTAATTACTTGTTTTAGAAACTTATCTCAAATTTATTCATATATTTTTAAAATTGATAGGAATTATATAATGCATGTAATTTTATAATACATAAATTATAATATGGTAGTAACGTGTACAAAAGAAATATAATGTGTAAACATATTTTCACAGAAACTTAATTTATGCAAAAGATTTATAACTACGATGTTATTTAGTTTAATGTCAACAAATAGTTACTATGACTACGTATAATATGGTCAATATGTTTAAGATTATTGACCCCATATGTATGCAGAATGAAGACTTAAACAGTATCGTGTTTCGTATGTGCGTCATTATTGCTTTCTTGTTTTCTTTTGTAGCCAGATAAACATTGTTTCTCGTATGATCTCCATTATTTTTTCATCAGTCAAATAATGGTAGTGAAGTCGGTATCTTTGATCGAGTTAAAAAAACAACAATGGGCAAAAGAGAAAGGTTGGTAAAATATTTATACATTCATTGTATTAGCATGTGATTATTTTCAAATATTAAAGTTTATTTTGATTTATAACAATTTTTATTTAGAAGAGATTGTAAAATTAAATAGTTATTGGAAAAATCAAAACACACCAGTTGTTTTCAATGATCAAAGGTATTTTAATTTCTACTATGTCAATTTGTAACCACGGAATTTTACTAACTAAAAATTATTTTTATTTTTCTATTAAAGGGATCATGTTATTTATCCAGGACTACGTTCAAATGATATTGATCGTCTAGCCATGTACAAAGATTTACAAACACAAAAAAATTTAAGTTTTCCACCAATTTCTCACGATAATCAAAAACAAAACGTACACAGCGTAAGATAATTTACTTTTAGTTATTTATATTATACTTAATATACTTTAAAATTAATACTTAAATAAATGTTTCATGTTCATTATTATTCATTGTATACCTAACAAATCATACCTTTTTATTTAAATTATATGTATTTATAGAATACCTATACTAATAAAATTGAAAAAGAACTAAGTACTGATACTGGAGTAATGGATGATTTTAAACCAAAAAGCACTCATACTATGTAAGCCAAAAATAATATATCTACTTAAAATATTAAAACAATTTTATATTTAGAATTAATAAATATTTTACATTAAAATTAAAATTAAAGATTAAATCGGACTTATACAATATCAAAAGAAAACAATACTAATGAAGGAGTAGGGACACTAGAAAGACAAAAGTGGGATAAGCAAAATAATGCTAGTGGGTTAAATCCACCAATCTTTAATTCAAATGAGAGAAAATATTTAAACAATGAAAGAAATGAGACACCGACATGGGTAGAATATCCGCCAGAAAAACCGTAAGTAATGAGTATATTTTATTAACTCGAAAGTTAACATATTATATAATATTTTATAAAGAACAAATACATCATAATAAGAATTATTTATACTTAAAATAGTTTTATAACTAGCGAAATTGGAAAAACACAATTCCAAGATATTCATAAAACTTCAGATTTTGGAGGTAGCTGTGACACTTTAAATTCGTTAGATTCGAACAACGTTTATAACAGGTAAGATATATCTTACTAAATAATTAGATAATTAAAAGCCTATATTAAAATAAATATGAGTGACGAATATAATATATTAATTTATTTTTTATAAATATTAACAACGACACAGAATAGATATATTATTTGACTTAAAATGGTTTTTATTTTTTGTTATGTATATACACAGGACTTACTTACTAGGACAAAATATTCCGTTGACTGCTGAAGAATTAGCTGCTAGAGAAGTAAAAAGGCAAAAAGCAATGGAACTTCAAGAAGCTATAAAACAACAGGTGAATAAGCCCAAAGTTTTAATTTGTGGCGATAATATGTTATTTTATTCTCGCCATAGTTAAAAGAAAGGCAATTAAAGAAAAAAGAAGAACTCGAAAAGAAAAAACAGGACGATTTAGTAGAAGAACGACGTATACAAAGACAACAAGAAATTGAAAGAAAACGACTAGAAGATGAAATGAAACGACAACGGGAAAAAGAAGTAAGTCATCAATTATAGTGTATAAAACTATCATCAAGAAAAACAGAATTTTTATTTTTATTTATATTATATCCAAATAGTTGTGTGAAGAACGAAAAGCAAAAGCAATGCAAGAAGTTTTAGAAAATGCTCAAAAACAAGCAAAAGAAGACAAATCCAAACACATGCAAAAAAAACGACATAATCAGGATGAAATCAAAGAACAAATTTCCACAGAACCTGCAATAGTAGTTAGTAACTGCAGTGAACCTAAGTCAGAACCAAAAGTTTGCCAAGAACCCAAAACAAAACCAAACCCACCAAATCCAGTAGAGGTAAAAGAGATCCCTAAATTGCCGGACGTCGATGTGATACTTCAAACATCACCATCTCCATTAAACCGCCAAAAATTATTAACTCCGAGCAAATTTCGGAGCCAGACTACTAGTGTCGCAATACAAACGGAAATTTTAAAGTAAGTCTACAATATTATTTTAACTAAAACGATGTTCTTAGTCCAACAAGTCTTGCAAAATAACTTTTGTTTTAGGAAACCCGCAAAATCTTCAGTTAGAAATGTAGACCAAAAATCTATAGATTTAGGCCAAAGGCCTAAGTGGGGTGTGAATAGACCAGAAGTACAGTATATCAAACAAAGTGCCAAAGATCCGAATTACCAGTTGAAATTAAAACAGAAATCCCCGTGGACCAAACGAATAAATAATACAAATTCAACGAAAACCCAATCATCAAATGTAAACGGTCAAACTGGGTAAAACACCTAAAAATTACTAAAATAATTAAATTTATTTGACTATTAGGTATATTTGTTCATGTATACTTAAATATAGCTTTACGTTTCCGGATAATTATTCAAAAAAGACGTTTTCATACGGCCGGCCAAATTTTGCAGGTGTGTTATGTGGATAACTTACTTATTTGGTTTAGGTATTGTGTATTAAAATACTTCTTACATTATTGTATGTTTCAGAAATGAAAAACAGCAACAGTGTTTCAGATAAAACTCCTTCGTTGTCAGAAAGCATATCAGTTAGTGATGTGTTATACCAATTATCGTCGTTACGAAAAGTTAGTGTACAATATATAAGTGTAATCTAAATGAATAAATAAACGATTTAGCTTACAATATTCAAATAATAAATAATAACAAAAACTTATCGATGCATAAACAATGTTTCGATTTAAAACGACTGCCGACAATAGAAACTTGTACACTTCAATTAAATACACACACACAGAAAACAATATTTATTGCGATCTTATTATTTTATTCAACCAAAAACATTATTATAATATATAGTATTAAATATTATGTTATTATTATTAGGTATAATAGTTATTATATACTTTGTTAATTGTTATGCATGATAACATTAAAGTCATGGTCGGTAGCTTATTATAAAAGTTAATTCAAATTATATTTGTTTATATACAGGTATTGGAAACCAAACGAAAACATTGGAAAAGTGTTATTGCTGACGAATCACCGTCATCAGATTCTTCATAGTTATTAAATATTAAATTTATGAATTGTTTATGTTACCTTTTTGAAGCAACAGATAACAGTAGAAAGTATATAACTGATTAACCGGATAATATTTAAATATTAAAGAATATTAATAATACTATTTTTCATAAAATGACAGTTATAATATTACGCACTAAATGACAGTAGCCATACATAACTTTTATAGTCACATTAATAAATTTTAAACATACCAAACTAGAAAACTTATTAACATAAAACGATAAAATTAGTTATTTTCAATACCATTTCATTCTTATTAGAAAAATTAAATTTTGCTGAATCGCTTTTACCTACTAGGTATAATTTGTCTTGTATTATAATTTAGTGCTTATATAATAGATGTTATTTTTAAATATCTATTTTATGAAGATATTTTATGTGTATAATTATAATTAAGGTTTATTATTTATAAAAATACAATTTATACTTATACATTATTAATTTATTATATAATATTTAAATTATTTTATTAAATTCATCATATAATTATACCTAACTACCTAATACCTATACATATGTACCTAAATATTAGTCTTATGAGATTAGGAATTAATTACATTTGTAACATATTATTTATGAATTAGTTATCTAAGAAAATTTAGTTTATAATCAAAAAAAATTATAAAAACAACTTGAATGCCAAAATTTTACATCATAAATTATTATTATTATTTTTTTTTATTTTATAAGGTATTATATTTTATAACTAATAATTTCACATTAAACACACGTATATCTACTAATATTTAATAATATTATATCAACAATAATATAGTAATTAATATCTAATTTTTAGGTATTTATTAACAAAAATTAGAATTAATTATAATTCATAAAAAAAGATTAAACTATTTACACCTTTATTGTTTTACAAAAAAACATATTATACAAAAATATGTTTTTTTGATTTTGTCGTTATTATTTATTGTTATCGTGTATACAAGGCTATACTTACATTTTTTTGTTATATTAGAAAACAATATTGCTATAAAACATATTTATAGAAACACACTTATGTATAGCGTGTATATTTTAATCTTGTAGTGTTATTATACTTAATTAAATTGTTATTGTACAGTTTTTGTTAAAAAAAAATTAATTAAATTCACATATGCTTATATATAAACGATAATCAAAACAATGTGAGAATTTAAATCTAATATAAATTATATATAGTTACCTAATGCTGTATCCAGTATTAAACAAATGTGGAGTATAAATATCAAAAACATAGCCGATTACAATATTTAATATTATATATTAACCTGTATATTAATAATGCGAATTCTAAATATTTTTTATTTTTTATTTTTTCGGTTTAATAAGTATCTGTGTATATTAATTAATTCATATTTTTCTGTTAAAAGGTCAATTACGTGATGCATGAAAAATGATAATATTAATGTATTTCTTTAAAACAACTATAAGAAAATGGCTTCACAAATTGAAGAATTTCTTGCTAAAAAGAAAGAACAAACTACATTATTGGATTTACATAACTGTACTGCAAATTCAAAAGAAGAATTAAGAAAACTCGTCGAAAAAGTACCCGAATTCAAGATAAAACCAGAAAAGGTAATCTTTTATTAGTAATTTGAAGTTTAAGTATACTACTGTAATGTATTATAATGTGTATTAGTAATAAATTAAAATATCACATAAGTTTTAGCGTATTAATAAACAGTAAGCGCAAAAACATATTGCAAAATTGCTTCAAAAAATAGTTGAAACTCGAAACAATTAATATATAAATTTTAAGTTGTGAGATTAAAAATACAGATAAGGTAACATCAACATTTTTTGAGTAATTGGATTGCAGCTGTTTTAATTAGCTACCCATTGTAATAGGTACTCGTAAAATATTTATAAAAAAAAGTACTGCATAATAAGAACTTTGGTTTTAATTTTAAAATATCTAGCTATCCCTAAAGATATATTTTGTTTAAAACTCTACAAGACATTGTTAAATTAAGTTATTTCAATATTATTTTCAATTTTTAGAAATTGGGTGATATTAAAATAAAAGAAAAAAAATTCAAATTTAAACTACCCAAGAAAGAAAGTAAAAAACCATTCCCATTTGCCGAACCAACGCCGTCAGAAATGAAAGGAGTTTCATTAGATGAGTTGTATTCAGTTAATATCCCATGGAAAATGCTTACTTCTCTTCGCCCAAAATCAAAAATCGACGAAGAATATTTTTCAAGGTAATGTTAAAAAAAATTTACGCCATTCGTATTTTGCCAAAATGAATAGTTTTAGCTAATTGATGCATAAAAAACACCCAATTATTACGTTTTCAATATAAATAATAAAATATTTGAACTTAGTTATAACTTATAAGGCACTTCAATAGTTTCACCTAACTTTCAATCTTACGGCAAAAGAAGGATATCTATGAAATGTATACGTAACTTAGAATTAAATAACTAAATTCCAAGTATCGGTAACTTTTCTTTTGTTATTAATAAGTATACTGTATAATGTATCAGCTGCTGTATATTGTATAAAAAACGTGATGAAAAATGTTCAATCCAATTCATGAATTTTGGTTTTAATTAAAAATGTTGACCCTATAAAAGTGGAAGTATACTCTGCAAGTACTTATGTGTATATGTTATATACACATCGTATAAACATTTTTTTACTTTACAAACTAATTAAAAAGTTAAGAATTGATAGATTTTATTTTGCTGCTAAAATTTAAATTTTGTCTTTAAAAAACCGATACACGACACGCCGACACAGCTGTTAGCTATTTCCATACTACGCCTTCACTGTCACGGTATCTTCTCTTTTTCAATATTGTTTTTGATGGATAAATTGTTGAGAATTGAAATTACTTTTATTTACTTTAGACAAGTCGAACTGGGTACGGCTACGCTCAAGACCAGGAACGCTGAGAAAAGGACGCCACGTGATAGTTTTCTGCGAAAAAAGAAAAATGCGTCCGGAGGAGTAGAGTCAAAGTTTTTGTCGTGCAAAGAATGCGGAATCGAATTTTGTACGGGTGAAAGCTGCAAAATATTCGACTACGATTCTTTTAAACGGATCGCGGTGTCTACTGTACAAGCTACTACTGAACAAACGCAAGAACCGGTTTCCCAGGAAAAAAAATTGTCGAAAAAGAAAAATGCCAGTAAAGGACCAAAGGTAAAATCACGAGGGCCAGCAGCGGTTAACGTAAAAAATACACTGGCGAAGAAAAACGGTGAGAGAATTATAATTGGTGTAAAAACCATGAAAAAAAATTCTATCGGTGTTCCGGAGAAATCAATATTAGATAAGTCAAATAAAAATGTCAAGACGACTGTGAAGGATAAAATATATTCATCAAAAGATGATATGAAAAAAATTACTATAATTAATGAAAATGCGATAAAAAAAAAACAAGAATTATTAAAAAAAAAGTCGTAAAATAATATTAGATTTATAAGTGCTAAATTATGAAAGTAAAAACAATAAGTATTTTTTATATTATATTTCTTTATACTGTATAATATTAATTCTGAATACTTTTGTCATTTGTATTTTTACCAGTTATTTTTTAATTTTTAATCTTTTTTTAATCTATTTGATTTCGTAAACATTAAATAACCCACATTATTTGCGTATTTTTATACTTTATTACAAAATAAATTAATTCATTTTATTATTGATATGTTTTAATATTTTAAAATATCATGTTAATAATTTCAGAAACATAGGTACAATTAAGTTAAAACTTCTACTTTCTTAAGTTAGATAATTAGATTAAATGAGATTAATTTATAGTTATTAATATCATTAATTAATATCGTCAATTTGATTGTATTGACAAATATTTTATTACTTAATTTAACCAAATTTAAAACTTTAATAAAAAATAAATTCATAAATTACAATCCAAACATATGCAAAATATTTTTTTTCTGGAAGGTATACCTAATATGTTAATGGAAATAAATCTCCAGGATTTAAGATTTTTGCATATCACAATTACACAAATTTTTAATAAGAAAATGTTTATGTTAATGAGAAAAACTTAAAAAAAACAATCAATTTCAGATACAACATAATTGGATAACTTTGACAAAAATATTTTAAATGATTGTGAGATTTTAAAAATACAACATTTTATTTTATGCATTATAGGAAATCAACTTTAAGTCATTTTTTAACTTAATTGTAAGTCAATTGCAACACTTTGTCTATACTGATCTAAAGTATAGATTTAAACAACGCCTTAGACTCTCAATGCTTAAGAAATAATTTATTGCTCATTATTTTAATAGCACATGATAGTAGAAGATAGGTAAATACTTATTTCCCACCCTCTTCTGCCTCCGTGCACTACTATAGTGAGTCAAATTCAAATTAAAACAATAAACAATATAATATTGCATTGAAATTACCCATCTATAGAATATTTTATCTATTCTTAAATTAATGGATTCACCAGTAAGTATAAGATTTTCCGGTAACTATAACAACCTTAACTAATACTGCTACTAATATACATATAAAGTTACAAAAGCATTAAAAAAAAATGTATATATACTTTCAATTTATTTATTAAAAAATAAATATATACAATTCCCTTGTCTTACAGTTCTTAGGTATTCATTAATAGATACCATACAACTATACAATAATTTATTTATTATATACAAGCTATGTACATTATGTACAAATTATATTTAAAATGTTCTATAGCGTAGCTAATATTCTTGTAAAACCTACAGCTGCTGAGAGTAATGTCTGTCCAACTCCCCAAAACATTGCATACAAAGGTTGCATTTGAATACTAGATGCTCGGTAGACAAAAGCTATAGTAGCACTGCTAACTATGCCCGAACTAAGTGGAGCAAATATTCCAACCAATAAAATGAACAAAGGAAAAAACCTGTAACATAAACAAACAAGTATTAAAAATAACATAATAAAAAAAAATAGTAATAGATAACTAATAACATTGAAACATTGTAAAACAAATTTAAAAAAATGTAAAATAAAGAAAAAACACATAATAAATCAAATTAAGTATCACTTATTATGGCTTATTAATGAACCCCTTTCATGTCTGAACTAAATGTACCTATGACTAGTGTCTAGTACATCAAATTATTGTTCATATTTTGTATAGATTCTTAATTTCAAATACAAATAAAATATAAAATAGTTTATACTTATTTTTTAAATTATATCTTTAGAACAATACAAAACAAAAAAATTAAAGATTTGATATATTATTTTTATTACATCTATTTTAAATATTTAATGTTAGAGAATCAAGTGGAGGATATTCTAATTAAATATCCACTACCTACTTATATACAGTGTACAATTCCAGATATGAAACTCTCAAAATTTAAAGTCATCAATAATAATTTTTAAGGATGCGATTGCCAAGAAGATTTGAAGGCACGGGCATTAAATTAACAATATTTAAGATGTCAATTTAAAATAAATAAAAACTAAATAATTTTATCTTACTTTCCAAAATTATGTTTATGAAGTGTAGCAAAAGCAATTATTGCAGCTACAGTATGAACAACAGCAGATGAGAATAGTGCCCATAAAAAAGTCTGATACCACATTTCTAAAAAAAAATATTTACAAAAATATTAATATTATTTTATAGTAATCAAATTTGTTTCTTTTATGCATTACCAGGAAATGTACTAAGAGGTCGTTGAGATGCCAAACCAATGACATTGGAAATCGGAACAAGTTCGGGGTTCTTGAAATCGTTGAGTGGCATCATTTTGAAATACAACCGATCGTACGGATTCAGAAAAAACCTCTTTCAAACCATTTTATAATGTAGATTAGGTATACAAAATAAAATTGTGTTATTGAATGTCTAGTACTATATAACGAACAGTCAAGGAACTAATTAGAATTGAGTAAAAAAATTTAACAGTATCACGTAAATCAAATTTTAAAACCACAAAAGTTCCATACTTCCGTGTTTTGATAAAAACTTATAGCTTAAAAAATAAAAGTTAAAACTCCATCTATTTATTTTTTTACTTATCATTAAGTTTCTGTTTTTTTAATGATAACGTTTATATCAAGATATCGAACAGATGCTTAAATTTGATACATTATCATTTATCAAGACAACCGACAACAACCTAACTATATACAAATTACAAGTTAAACAGCGTGAACAACTCAACAGCGGCTCTGTCGCACAGTGCCATCGACCGTCGTCCGTGATTCATGAGTGTTATTGAACAGTCAAAGCCTATCACTGCATAAAAAAAAAAAGAAATAGAATTAAGATCAATTATTACTCACGAATCCAATACTCCAGCCGGTAATCAGCAGTCACAATACGTCATTCAGACTTAGCACTCTCAAATCTCTAGGTGACAACGGTATGAAATTTTTAAATCAATAACTTTAGTACCCACTATACTTTTAGTCAATACCTATTTAGTATTTACTTTAATACTGGGTACGTTGTACCAATAGACTATAGTATTTTATTATTCCATTAAGTTTAATTAAACTGCTAAATAGGATAGAAGGTAACATTATGGATTCACAAGACTATTCTGACAGCAGTGATGAGAATGATTCGGACTATAAACCACCAGGTAATTAACACTAAATGAAATTACATTTTGATATTCTAACTACTTATTAAAATCCATTAACTTTCATTATAATTTGTATATCATAGTACCTTGATTTATTATGAAGAAAATAAGTCTACAGATATTTTAATTCATGATTATGATGAATTTCTAAGAAAAACTACTAAGGACTTTCAAAATACATTTTTCAATTTGAAAAAATTGAATGTTTAAGTTTTAATTTATTGTAATCTTTATTATTTTATTTTATTTATTTTGATTCATGAATATTTGATTTTTATTTACTATTAGGTGAAGATGAAAATTTATCAGAAGTTGATTCAGATGATCCAATTGAAGATGATGAGGATGGTACCAGTACATCTGCTAAAAAATCAAAGAGAGCTAATAAAAAGTTAACAACTAAGATGGGAAAAAGAAGAACACTAAAGAAATCCAAAAAAACGTAACACTTTGTTGTTTTTAAATCTAAAATGTTAAATCATGTTTGTTTTGTTTATTTTTATACAGTTATTGATGACGAAACTGTTGAAAAAACAAAAGAAGAAGTAAATACTCTTCTTAATTCCTCTGAAGATGATAAAAAACGTTTAGATGCTTTGTGGGAAGGTATTAATTAACTTTCTATTAATAATTAGTATTTTAATTTTTAATAAAAGATTTAACAAATGAATAGCTTAAAAATTATATTATATAAAATATAAGTTACAAAAATTACATATTTGAACTCATTTTTGTTTTATTTTAGAATTTCAACGACCTATTCAGAAAAAACCTTCCAATACACCTATTACGAGTGAAAATAAATCTAAATCAAAAGATTCTATAAAAGTTTTAGATAAACAAGAAACAACAAAAAAAAGAAACTTTGAAGCGTTATTTGATTGTTCTGACTCATCTAAAAAGTAATTATATATTTATACATATGTATACATTTTTTTGTTCAACCTTTTAACTAGATTTAATAATTATTTATAAGTACTATTTAAAAAAAATTACTACTTCTGCGGTAATAATAAAAATTTTACATTACATTCTTAATGTTTATATGGTTATATTTAGTTATTAAATCAAGTATTGTTTTTTTTTTCTATTTTTCTTTCCACATAAATGTATATTGAAAAATGACATCATATTATTGTATCGTATTTGTATAAAATCTTTCTCAAATACTCTAATGTTACTCTAATCCAGCATTTCTTAATCTGTGTTCCGCTAAAATCACTTCAGAGTTCTATGAAGTTTAAGATTTTTTTTTCAAAATATTCAAGAAAATTACTTTAAACTATCTAATTAAAGATTAATAAAGGCTAATGGGAAAAAAAAAAAAATGTTTTTTTATTAAATAATAATGTATATGAACATATGGTATAATCTATAGTATAGACCCAATACTCTATAGTGTATTCTTATTATATGAAATAATTATAATTTTTATTGCAAATAACTCTAAAAAAAAAAAAATAGTAGTTCCACAGATATAAAAGTTTAAAAAATCCTGCTCTAATCTATAACTAATTATTTTTTATTGTCATGCTATGTAAAAATAAATGGCATAACATAAGTACTAATAATATGCCATGTGCTTAATAGGTAATACATATGATTCTAATAATAAACTCAAATTTCAATTTTTATATATCAGCTGTATACTCAAATATTTGAATATGATTATTAATTATTAAAATTGCATGATCATCAAAATTTAAAAATGTCTAATACTTTTTAGATTCTGAGAGCTCCACTGAATATATTGATTTTACAATGATGTGATTTTTTTTTTCTATATAAGTAAACAATATTTGTTTGTTATAATTCTTGGATTTTAAAGTTTTAGGCTGATTTTAGTAAATTGGATCTAGTTCTATAGAGGTCATAATCAAAAATTTCCATTACTTTTTTATAATTTAGAAAAACAAAAATCAAGGAAAAATTGGACTTAATTGGTTTCTTTATTTTGTCATAACTCAAAAATGAATTATCATAGAAGTTTTCATTAATTATTTATATTATAATTTTTTATGCATCATACAATTTTCAAAATATTTTAACTTTTTTTGAATAGGTTAAAATAAAATTAAACCACAATTAATTTATAAAAGTATTTATTGCATACTAAAAATAAACTAAATTGTTAATTATGATTATTTATTTTTTAAATTTTTTCGTTTTTCAGAATTAAGACTAATGATGATACTACAACACCAAAGTCTTCAGGATCTACTAGTGTAGTAACCCCTATTGCTACAAAATCATCAGGTGGTTTAGCAAATATATTGAGTCAAATAGGAAAAAAAAGTAAATTGTCAGTTTTAGAAAAATCTAAACAAGATTGGGATGGTTACAAAAAAAAGGAAGGAATTGTCGAAGAATTAGTCACATACAATAAAGGAAAAGATGGGTTGGTGTTGAAATATTTTATTTATTTTAATAATAATTTAGAAATATTGTCTAATGAGTAATATTTTTATTATAGGTACTTAGAAAAGCAAGACTTTTTAGAACGGACAGATTTACGACAATTTGAATTGGAAAAATCAATGAGAGCTGCAAATAGATCGCACAGAAATTAGAAAAGGCATTATTAATTTATATTATATCAATAATTCCTAATATTTAAGTAATTGGTTTTAAACTTTTAAATTGTATTACATTTAAATTAATATACTTTTTTTATTTTACAAAATAAATTAATAATATTTAATTTTTTTATGACATCAGGTAGTTAAAAATGCAATATCTGTATTTATAAACTTGTTTTATTACAAAAACAACTAAATTAAAAAAAAAAAATAGAAAACATTTAAAGACAATTGATACAAAATAAATGGCTCATCATAAAACATATGATTTTTTTATCTGATTTAATATTTATAATAATTATTTTTAATAATAATATATTCACATTTCACATATGTCTAAATTTATAAGCAATTAAATATACATAATATAATATTTTAATTTAAATTTAATGTTAATGCCATTACATTTTACAATTATTTATAACTTGTCCTAATTTCAAAAAATATTATCTCTTTGTATTTGTAAAACTTAGACATTTAATTTCTAACTATCAGTAGATAAAGCTTGAAGAAACCAATTATTATAATTCAATCTGACAATAAATTGATTTGGTTTTGGAGTCACGTGAATTTCTTGAATAATGTTTATCAATGAGACTAATTTGTTCGGATTTTTAGTAAAAAGTAAATTTAACTCTTCAAGACATTGTTTATATTGTGGATTTAAAGCAGCTGTAATATCAGTCATATACCTACAATAGTTTTCACACATATCCAAAATTCTATTAAATCCTATGTAAACTTCTTCCATAAACAAAAATGAGTCTCTCATGATATTTGTCTGGAATATATCGTGTATGTGCTTGATTGTTTGAAAATCATTGGCATTGGTTAATTTTTCCAAAAAAAGAAAATATTCATCCTCGATTACATCCAACTGAAGATAACTGTAGAGAGTATCTATTAAGTACGATAATTTAGTTTTCAGCTGGTCAGTATGTCCATTTATTTCAAAAGATTTAGATTTTTTTTCAATCCAAATTTCATGCAAATTTGTTTGTACTCTTTTGATTCGCGATAAAAATGCAAATAATTTTGAATAATTTTTTTGAACAGAACTGGTGAATATAAATTGCAATGGCCATGTAGTTTCAAAAGTAACTTTAATTTTTGTCCATGTCGTTTCATCAGCTTCTTCATCTTCTAATGAACTGAAACCAAACACTTGATTTATAGATTTGTGCAGTTTAATATCTTGAGCTGTATTATTAAATGCTACCTTAACAGCACGTAAACTGTGTTCAGATTTCAAAGATAAACTGCACATTTTATTCAAAAAGTGCTTATAGAACTCTCCATTACCCAACAAATAAAAATCTCTTACCAATGTCATATGATAAGCAAAACTATCATTATTGAACGATGCTTTTAACATATATTCATCCACAACATTATAAAATTTGTCAATTACTTGGACAAATTCATTTTTAGTAAACAACGGCACATCTACTAAATTTAGTAAACTAGAAAACAATTCATCTCTTTTATGTCCATACAACTGTATAGAAATATCCTTGTAGTTTATCAATGATAATTGATCGTTTGAATTTTGCATACTTTTGATAACATCACCAATTCTTGTTATTTTGCTTGCAGTTGAAAGAGGAACAAAAGATGGCATTAAACTAGGTATTAAAGAAAACTGTTTAAATTCTTTAGTACTTTTAGAATACACGGATTCAATAAAAAACTCTTTGTGAGGATCAAAAATCACTCCACGTGCGAAAAATGTATTCAACTGCAATATTAACACCTATAAAAAATAAAATATTTTAAAAAAATTGTTCTGTAACAAAAGGTGATGCTAAATTATTTACATCTTAGTTCAATTTTAATTTTAAATGTTGTAATATTTAAAAATATTAAAAACAATAAACAATAGGTACTATATAAATGTCTTTTTAGTTCCATAACTTATGTGTTCAATGTTGTTAGTCGTGATAAGCATGAGAGCCTCCTTCATGAAATTGTCTTTTTATTTTTTTTTGGTCAAATCTATTTAATCAAACGATCTTGTTTAGTATATTATGAAGTTGAACTGTACCAAGACATGTTAATATATTTTTAAACATAGACCTTAAAATACCTAATTTCCTGCACCAAACCTACCCTACTACACAATTTTTCATTAAAATCATACTAACTTACATACATCCAACCTTCTCTATCTAAAATCCAACTCATTCGCTTAAATACAAAAAAACTTAAGGACCTTAAATTAAAGAACACTTTAAATTTATCAAAGACAAAAACTATAAATATATAAATTCTAAATAATAATAAATAGTTGAATAACAATAGACATTGGACATGCCCTTCATTCAAGTTCTATTCATGTATCATAATTTTAAGCAACTTATTAATCATTATATTTTGTATACTTTGACAGATTATAAATATTCTATTTCTTGATGGAAAATAAAGTTACAGATAAGTATAAAACTAATTATTTAGACAATTATTTCTATGCAATCATATTACCTGTAAACATTGTTTGAATATGAGTGATAATTGAACTTTTTCATCCATAAATTTCATATAGACAACTTCGTGTATGAGATTCAATATTTGTCCACCATGTAACTGAGAAAGTTCAATTTGATCTAAAATATTATTTATTGCAACAATCAATGGTTTATGTTGTTCAACTTTCCTCAATGTTTCGGCCAATAAACATTGATTTTCTTTGTTGCTTGATAAATCTTTTTCAATGTCATTTATACATTTGCGATATGGTTTCAAGGCAATTAACATACCATTGACAAAAGCTTCAAAGTACAGTCCCCGTCTATTTGATTCTGATTCTCTGAAAATACTTTCCAAACGGTTAAAAGATACAATAACAGTGTTAATTTTCTGATATTCTTCAGCCAAATGTAAAAAACTCTTTAACAGTTCCCTGTCTTCAGTGTTCACAATTATATACTCATCATCTGAAAAATTGCTGTCATTGTCGACAATACATTGTAATACTTCAGATTTGTGGCCAAGTAGGGTAAACAATATATCAGGAATTAAACATTCCATTTTAATTTTACAATTTACAATATATTAATTTGTCAGTATATTATTGTTTGTTATATTATTTAATGATAGTTGAATAGGTAATAATTAATATTAATTATTCATTAATTACAAGTTATACATCATAATAAGCTATTAAGTAGTAAGTACATTCTTAAATTTTAATTTTAAATATGTTTAAAGTTTAAACGGATAAAAAAATATTCATATATATAAGTGACAATATAAGTGATAAGTATTAAATGATAAAAGATTATCAAGAAAGTGATAACGATTGATTTAAATTAATAATGATATCAACAAAAATTAGTCACTTATTTGCAAAATAGGTAGGTACTTAAAAAAGATATTACAAGAAAAAAAATTACCGTAGGTACATAAAACATATTTTTATGCTTCGTTTTTCAACTTTGGTCTATGAGAATTGTTTCTGGTAGAAAATTGAATCCGGTTAGTATATTTGAGGGTAAAATACTAAAATTTTTCTCTAAATTTCAAAATAAATGAAAAAAATATATATAAAATAAAACATGATTTTTTTTTTTTTGCAAAATCAGTACTTGTTTGACAAAACTAATTTTGTTTTTTTTTTTTTGAATAACTTAAAAATGAATGATTTAAGATACTTGAAGTTTTCATCGAATGTATATAATTGTATTTTCTTCGTATTGTATAATTTTATATATAATTTGACTCTTTTTAAACTATCTAAAACTATTAAAAATATTTTTATTTTTATTTAATATAAATGTCCGTAAAAATTGTTCATTTGGTAAAAAAGCTTAACAATTTAATACTAGGTTCCTTATAATAATTAGTTTATATTGTAACCTAAAAATCTAAAAAATATAAAAACACAATTTTTGTGAGTTGACTTTCGTATGAAAATAGATATTTAAACGTATTGAATAGTGATTTTAATTATTTTGTCGAAATCTAAAAATATTATTTATGCCCTGTGATGGGTACTTAAAACTTTTAACATACATTATTATTTATTTATTATAGTACTTTTTATTTTGTAGGGAAACATAAATTTCTATCCAATAAAAATATATTTTTTTACCCAATTTGTATGTTTCAAACATGTGTTGCGAGAGAAGTGAACAAGTTTGGTAAATATCTTGGTATGAATGAGTAGGTGAATGAAAAAATAAAATATATTCGGTTTCTTTAATTAAATTTACTCACCACGTTACTGCTTAGTAGTAAACAAAATAATTGATTTTGGTGGTAAAATGGAACACTATCAACGCTATTGAAGTTTCTCTCAGATGTAATGGTTCACTATAAATAAAAGATACTTAGTTAATTAAATTTATTATACTTATACTAAAATGTATTTATATAGGTAGGTAATTATGTTTTTTGAATTTTATTTGTAATATATAATATTACCATAGAATAACATGTTTTTTAATATTTATTTAATTATATCTATTCTGTGGCGTTATAATAGTAACTAGTATTGAGTATAGCCTTATTAATAGGCGCTTAACTGTATATTATATAATCTGTGTCTTTTATTATTTTTAAATCATGTACAATTCTAGAAAATATTTCAACAATACTAAATAGCAAAAAAATATAATTTTTTTGGAAATAGAAAACTGTCAACATAGTACCTGGGAGACAACAACCTATATCCCCAAACCCAAATTAAAGGTAAGATTTAATTTTCATATTTGTGTATAAATTAGTATAACATTATATATATTTAACCAACAATAGTGAATAAAGTTACGTATGATCAGTTTAACTTAAATAAACTTTAAAATTAGTATCAAAATTTTGTTATAAATTTGCTACATTTTGTAACGCTTTTTTAGAATTTGCTACCTTTAGAATTTTCTGGAATCCTGGAAAATAGAAGATTTTCCAGTACCAGTATTTTAATTTAAGGATTCCGGAAAAACCAAATGATAGCAAATTCTAAGAACAGCATAGCAAAATGTAGCAAATTTGTATCAAAATATTATTGTATGGTTTGAGGTAGTAGCATAAAGTGCTAGTGCTAACTTGATGGACATTGACATATCATTGG